GCTCTAATTTGTCATGTTCCAGTGCATTGCGTTGCATGTACATGTACATTTGTATTTGTATAACAATAGAGGAAACAACTTACAGCTGTACAGTCAATTTGCTTGATAACTCAATATGTACATTCAGTTGGATAGATGTGCACTGTGAACATGTGAATGTATTCTGGTTTAACCTTCTTTTCTGGGAACTTTTCTGTTTTAAAGGTCCACTGTGTATTTTACCAAACTTAAAGGGCCAATTACTTAGATAAATTTAGCCTTTGTTTAACAAACTATGTTCTAAATGATCTTAAATTGAGCTGAATCTTTCATCTGAACATTAAATTTTTTGAACAATGTCAAAGGAAGTGAAAGCTAGAAGTGGAAGGACATTTATTAAATGAAAACAACCCCCTTAAAAAGAATATGTTAGGCCTGTGGTTTGGGTTAGATCTCGTGCAAATAACTGGCCTAAAGAATTGGAGTCACTTAGTCTATTTTGCTACAATAATAATTGATTTGAAATGCTACTCACTATTAATTTTGATACCTCAGGAGGCCATATTCTCCACTTAAGTTTACTCCAGCCAGGAACTTTGCGGGCAAGGAAGAGGATGCAGTCACATGTAAGTATTTATTTATTTATTTATTTAGCATCCCACATTTACAGCCAGTGAAAAATTTGTTTTCCTTGGTTTTGAACTCATTAATTCCTATGAATTAGTTACCTCACCCCTAAGTAAAAGACAATGTACTTTGTAATTTGAACTAAGCCCAAAATTTGATGCTGTACAATTAACTATTGGTGTCGACTGCTGTTTACGGCTACATGGTGTATCTTCAATTATCCTTGAATTTTAGATAATAACCATTGCTAGAATTTATTGCAGTCAGATTCATCAGGGTAAATGATGTTTTCTTACAGGTGAAAATGCATACACTTTAAATGAGAGGCTCTTTCCTGTACCAATCCATGGCCCAGAGGCATCATGCTCAGTTTGTCATACAAAACGAGAGTCAGAGTATGAAACAGAGGGAAGTTATGTTCGGTGAGGGCTTTTGCAATCTTAGCCATAAAATACAGCTGTTATACTTATATAGTGAAGTCAAGAATACACTTTTTAGCATGGTTACCACAGGTCAGGAAATGGCTACAGGAAAAAATATTGTTTTGAGGTCAAGGGAATTTCACTTTGAGTTAAGGAAAATTTATGTGTCTGGAATAAGTCAGAGAAAAGTTAAATCTTGTGTAAATATGAACTCCTTTATCTTGGTTTGGCCTCTTTAAAATTAAGGATGCTTACAATTTTAAGTTAAAATTCAAAGCCTGATGTTTTTATATGGAATGTTATTCATGTAAAACTTTATTGTTTAATATAATTGATAGATAACAAGCATGTCATTTTCCCTTTTAGATCATGTTGGTTTTGTGAATGAAATCATACACTTTTTTTCTTTTATTTTTATAGTTTTCTAACCTTTCATATTCTTTTTTTGGATTGATACATTTCATTATTTTTCTTCTTCAGAGTGAGTGTACCAAGGTCATCACTTGTCTCACCCCACAAGTTCAAACCTCATAGACGAGCAAGCTTTGATCCAACTGATTCAGTGGGCTTGTCATCACATTGTCTGGCTGGATGGGAGAGTTCTAAACCCACAGTCATTCCAATGCCTTCATCATTAGATCTGAGAACATCACTTCACAAGTCTCGCACCACCCTGGTATGTCCTTATCTAGGAGCTACATGCACAGTGTATACTGTACATGTAATGAGGTTGATATTGAAAATATTCTTGTTGTTTGTGGGTAATCTATCTTTTACATTTGGTGTCCAGCTTCATTTGAGTATTAAGTTTGGTCACTGTGTTGTGATCAAGGGCAAGGCACTTGAATTTTTCTCTTGTTAGTCTCTGGGGTATAAAAAAGTCTAATGAGACTGTGTTGCAAACTTCTTAATGCAGGATCAAGGGTGATAGTAAAGGCAGAGGGTGAGGTACATGTGCGTGGCACCTAGAGAAAGTATCCGTGCTGTCTTTGTGAAATCAGGCTCTTAAAGTTTTACTCAACAACTTAATGCAGACTTGATCTTGTTCTTGGTAATTGACAGTGCCTAAAAATTAAAACCTTTTTAGATATGGGTGCACTATTTTTGAACATTTCTAAAAATGTCTCTATAGGATGCATCTCGAGCTGGCAACTTCCCAAGCTCTACTGCTGAGACAACAGAGGAGTTATTAAACAGAAGTCACACGCTCAGATATGGTCTTCAGGTGTTAGACAGAGAAAGAAGAGGAACACCTCAACCTCCTCATACCACACCATACCCTTTTCTCTGACAGGCTGCTTTTATTTAGCCAAGTATAGTTTCCTGGAGATGATTCTATCTGTTACATGAAGATGGTACATGTATAGCATTTTTCTACTCTCTTAACCCTTGCACTGCTTGTATGTGAAAAGCAATTCTCCTTTCTAGATGTTTCACATTTCTTTGTAAAATAGCAAAGAGATTTAATGTTAGACATTTGAAACCAGGCAAGCACCTTTTAGCTTATACTGCACTTCCTGTATCTCTGTCTATTCTCATCTCCTGTTAAATACATGAATATGTGCTTCTCAATTCAAACATTTTTGATTCTGATTTGCAAAAAAAAAAAAAAATACAATGGATGAATTTTATTTAATCTACATGTAATGATGATTTATTCATACTGTTGATGTAAGATACATATAGCATACCTACATTTATGAATAAATTTTGTTGGGGAATGATTACAAAGCAAACCAATCTATAGTTTCAGAAAAATTCACTCAAGATGTCTATAAAAGTGTTCATAACACTTCTCATGTAATGTGATGTTTAGCTCTGTTTACTTTTTATGTTAATTTGCTATTGCTGTTTTTATTCTGTCAAGTGTAGTTTTGAAATTTGTGTCACAAAGGCAATATTTGAACGATTTTCAGAGTGAGGAACAATGTCTGATTGAGTGTTCACAGTGATAGGAAAAATAAATTTTTGCCTTGAATGTTTAAATAAAGCTTAAAGTTTTGTTTTATGTTGATCCCTTTGCCACAGTTTTCATTTGTTATGGGAAGGTGTTGTATACATTGTGTTTGGTTCAATGTCATTTGGCCTTGAAATTCATTTTTGGTTGCAGTCAAATTGATTGTTGCTAAATTGCATACATATATTTTATTGCTCTTCCCAAATAGCTTCCCCCTCCCTCCCCTGAAATTCTTGCTTCACAGTGCTTTATGGGCATGCAAGAATGTAAGAAGCAAAGAAACCTTTTAAAAGCAACCAATGTGATAAGTGCTTGACATACAGTTTACAGTTTGAAAGTTTTTAATTAACTATGGGATTGGATTGGATCGTGACAATTGCTTCAATCGCCTAGAGTACCTGAAGAATCACGAACAGGAGGGAGGCCCTTGAAATGTGACCACTGAGGAAAACGATTTAGGCAGTCCAAGGATCTGAAGAGGCACGTCACAAAAGGCCCTCTTGGGCCACCTTACAGAGCACATACGGGACAGAAACCGTATGGACGTCATCAATGTGGTAGATGTTTAGTCAATCCGGAGATCTCCAAAAGCATACAAGAATACACACCTGTGAAAAGCCTTTTTCCGTGCGACTTGTGTGACAAGTCCTTCAGTCGCTCTGAGGTTCTCCAGAGACACAAGAGAAGGCATACAAGGGTGAAGCCTTTCCGGTGCCAGTATAGAGAGAAGCCCTTCAGTCGCGCTGATGTACTTCAATTGCATTCAAGAGCTCATACAGGAGAGATGCCAATTGTTTGCAGGCAGTGTGGCATAGTTTTTAGTCGGTCCGGATACCTAAAGAGCCATCTTATCACACATCCATGGAAGAAGCCTAAGTGAAGTTACTGTGAGAAATGTTTTGCAAGGAAGCCGTCTCTAACTTCGCACGAAAGATCACACCCAAGAAAGCAGCAACTGTGCAATGAAGTACTTGGGAACTTTAACGGAAGTTGAAGAAGAAATACACTGGTGATGTTCATGACGCCTGTATGCTTCTTCAGACCAGTTTGTTTCTTTCGAAATTTGATGCGTTATCAGTGACACCTTGTCTCCCCATTGGGAAAGCAACCCAAGCGAAATTGGCCGTATAATTGGTCCACGATAAGGATTGTTTTAATAAAATCTCAAACATAATGGAATTAAAAGGGTTGTCCAGGGGTTTCAGTAACTTTTCCATTGGCGGCTGCCGATAGGGTTATGGACAGCTGTGCCCGGAAAGGGACTGTAAGGCGAAACGCAAACACTACAGCCCGCTCGCAAGCTCAACAGACGGCGGTAAAAGGTCTTATGGGTGGCCTTAGACCGCTAGTAACCAGCCTTAAATAAAACCCCTGGATGTCACGATGTTTGTCGTAACAGGGTTCATCGCTACAATTTCTTCGGTACTCAAGAATTCGCATTGATTTGGAAGGGAAGGTTATACGTTTTACTGTTCTCATTAGAAGAAAATCGTCACTTACAAGGGGTCACCCTCATAACCTAAGTTAACTTTCTATCTACATACCTCTGTTTTAGCTATGATATAAGTATTATTTTCCATTTGTTAGTCAGTCTTTTGAATAGCAGTTCAAAGAGAAATTCAACTCTTAATGTGATGTTGTACATAGTTGCTACTTTGATGACTTAAGCTTTTTGCAGATGTCAAACGCCGACATAGTACTGACTGTTGTTCGTGTGTGCGTTCGCTAGTGTAAGGGCTGTTATGTGCTTTTGAAATGGAAAACAAACGTTCAGTGGCTGTGCAATTATTATTTTATTACAGTTCAAAACCTACAATTGTGAAATGTTGATGCATTTATAAGGCATACTCTACTTGTAAAGACCTACACGTACAGGTGTGTGAACAGATATCAAATTGAATTACTCTGAAATGTTAACGTTTGAAAAACATTGAACAAAGTTTTATAAAAAGGTGCATTGTCTACACGTACTGGTAATGAGAAATTTCTGAATTTCATGTATCCCTAAAAATTCGTTAAATGGCTTGAGGCCACTTTTGTTTTAGAATGTGCAATGTTTTAGTCATTATGATCCGTTGCAGTTTTTTCTTCATGGTCCTTTCCCGCCATCATATCGAAATTAACATAATCCTTGGTATCGTAGACTTCTAAATTGACGTGGTTCTGGCCAAAGAAGATACAGATATGAGATTGTTAAAACACTCAATCATCTTTGCTAACAATTATATAAAATATCCTTTTCTTTAAATTGTTTTGCTTTCTTCCGAGTAGGGGAGTGCAAAGAGGTAAACAATTTCGCCTATCTGCGCCAATTTTGGGTGCTATCTGCCGATCGCGATGCGATGTAATTCTTGTCCAAATAAGGATCATCGTTGCATATAAACCTTTTTTTGCATAAATTTGCTGCATGTGAATGTATATGTGTTTCCTTTGCTCCACTTTTGTCGTAACTAGATTTAATGTGAAGTTTTCTGTCTCAGCAGTAGTGTTATAGCCGATAACAAAGTGTACTGGGAAACCGCCAGGTCTATAGGTCAAACAAAGTTTCCAAATTTGGTTTTAAACAAGAAATCCTACGTGGAAAAAACATCAAAGTACCGACCAAGACCGCCCGAGTGCAGATGACTCACAATCTGAATCTTCAGAGAGCCAGATCCGAAATCAGAACAGAAGACTCCGCTAGTACGCAAAAATCACGTAATTTCTCTAATTTTCGAACCCACAGAGTTTTGAATTCAATAGAACATACTCTTAAAGTTCCTTTCTTTTTTAACAGAATAATAACAGAGATTTAAACGAGAATTAATGAAAGCAATTTGGAAATAAAAAATAAAACGAGGCATAATGAAATATTACGAACAAACCTTTCGGTCATGAAGGAGTTTTTTAACCGCAGAACAAAGCCACTGGAACGTTGGCCTTTCCTGAGGTTTCTCTTCCCAACACTTAGTCATAATCGAATACCTGAAAACAAAATTATGACACGTATCACATAATCAGCGCTACAATGTTTGAAAAGAAAGCAGGCAATGTTACACTTCATGGATAAAAATCTTTTGGAAGGCCGGGAACACTAAGTGACAAATGACACATGCCTCGATGCCAAACGTCAATTGGATTTAATTGGTTATAGGTCCCAAAAGTGATTTCAGTTGTTAAGGATTCTATAGAAATCGATAAGAATAAGCTCCGGATAATACACTTGGAAGTGAAGATCTTAAGGCAAAAAAGACCGCGTAGCTTCTTTTTTTTATTTCTTAGTTTTGTTTTTGTTTTGTTTTATAGAACAGCACTCGAAACCTTACAATAGGTCTTTATAAATGAGAAGAAATATCTAAGTGCATGTGAGAAACTGTGATCGCGTTGCAAAACTTTTAAAGGGTTGAGTTGAACTACTCACAGTTCTTTAGAGATGTGGGCTGGCTTAGGCATGCGGTATCCTTTTACTAGTAAACCTGCTATTTCTGATTTCGTTTTCCCAGGATAAGGTGATTCACCTGAAAAACATAACCAACGTTAAACCGAAGTGTGAACCTCGGAAGAAAAATGTAAAGAAAGATAGAAAGAAAAATAAAAGGGAAAAAACAGAAAAAATGAGAAAGGTGAAGTTATTACTTCCGTTTGTGCGGAACTACATGACTGTTTTACACCACATTTATTTGAACAGCTGACCAGTGCGCCCGCGTTATTCAATTGGCGAGAAAACACAATAGTGCGAATAGCGCCCGATTCAAAGTTTAAAATTAATCACCTTTTTGGAATGTTGGAGCCAGTTTTAGCAATTCAACCGTCGCAAAGGTGTGTACATGAATCGCGGACAAGATTTTTGTGGAGAAAAGGAAAGGCATGATTATTTTTCAAGAGGTAAGACGCTTTTTTGTCGAATAGTTCCTTCGGAACACTGCTAGTACGTTCCAGTGAATTTGAAAGTGATGACTGAGGTCATTTGTAATGAGACTAATGTGAAGAACACCGCTCTAAAGCTGAGAACTATGTGAACATTAGGCATAAACGACATTTGCTTATTTATGTATTGCTATTTAATCTTACTTTTAGCCAGACAGCATGCTCCTTCTAAGCAATTGATGAGAAATTGTTCTTCTAGAAAACGTCTCTGATTTTAAAATCACTTTTTCCTACGGGGGAATTATCCCTTTACTTTATTTTTCTTGTGTACCAAGGAACAAAAAGCTTTTATTTTAACTCAAAATTTATGGTTATAATGATAATGCTGGTGAAAATAACAGTGATAATGTTGATAATAATGCAAATAATAATGATGATGATAGCACATGTATCCAAGAAAAATTAATATGGACAGGAATTTCAGAAAGTGGCCTCATGAATACTCAGAACCCGTAAGCTACAGTGTTAGTTGGATAAAACAGAATTTGACCTTCTTTCATTCATGAGAACAGCATATATGAGCTGACCGAAAATTGTGAGTAATAAGCTTCTTGCTAACCTGTAGAACCACTCCCTCTCTATAAAGTATTCCACATACCTATGGTGAACACTTCCCACATCACAATGCCGTAAGACCATCTGTAAAAGAAAGACAAAGTGGAAAATTTTACGTTATGAGGTTTATTTGCGTCATTAACAACCTCTCAGAGGGTCTTTATTACACCATTGATTTGACGAAGTACTTTCAAGGAATATCAAGCTCATACAAAACTTGAGATGATATCTTTGTTTGAACAGTTTTTCCAGAGGTCTATCATAGACTTTTTAGTGTTGTTGCCTCGGTTTGGATTTTGCGTAAAGCAGACCTCCATTACCTTTCTTAAACCATCTCTTTCAAATTGCATGTGTCATGGTCTCTTACAAAGATGTTTAACTGCATGACTCAGTTTTCCAATCTCTCAGATGTTAACTTTTTTCTTATGAAGAACTAAAACTTTACTGTAAACTATAATCATGACCTGCTACGTTTTTTAACGTTTCTGACTACTCTTTGGGACCTTATTTTTTTCTTTTTTTTTAATCAGAAAGCGTTTAAATGGGGAAAATTAGACATTTTTTTGGACTGTATTATTTAGAGGATCGATGAACTCATGATTCAGTGTCAGAAAAAGTCTTGTGCTTAATTTGAAACAACTTACACATCACTCATAGTGGTAGAGGTTCCATACAAAAGAGATTCTGGGGGCATCCACTTGATTGGGAGGCGAGCCTTCAAGTTGTAAGACAAGTATATATCGTCATGAAATGATAAACATTAAAGCAACTAAATGTAAAGCACAGTGTTCCTTAACGACACCTCGGTAGTCATCTGTTCTTTGGAAATCCAGCGTGTTTTAATCACTAACCTTTTTTAAAGTTGTTTTTCTTATCTTTCTTTTTCTTGTTTTTATCTTTGGGGTTTCTATCGTATCCTTAGTCACTGTTAGAATTGTTAATTTGAATGTTCTAGGAATGTCAATTTCCTGATTGCAAGATTTGCGTTGATCTTAGATTTTCGTAACGTGCTAATTGAGACTTATGCATAAATTGGTAGCTAACTGTATATGACCCTTGCCTGAATGAAAGAAAAACTTGATTTGTTGTAGAGTGTGAAAGGAAGAAAGGAAAAAGCAAAAATCAATCTAACATTTTTGTATAAGTCTAACTTTTACAAAAATGTTAATTCAGTGACGTTAGAATCACCTTAGCCTTTCTCATGTATACATCGCCCTCCAAACCACGTGCCAAACCAAAGTCTGATATCTTGCACACTTTATTGTCACCTACTAACACATTTCTGGCTGCTAAATCACGATGAACAACCTGAGAAAAAAAAAGATTGTAATGGCATAGTGTTTGTCATACCGCCATATTTGATATTTTCGATCGATAAACAGTCAATAAGGGTTTAAATACGGATAATTTTAGACTCCAGCCAATTGCATTAAGCCGGATAATAAACATGTAAGTGCAATGTTTCACTAAACGAGGAGGAGTGTCTAAAATAAAGCTGGATTTAACATTATAGTTCAGGAGGTAATTTGATTGTAGCATCACTTTGGCATGGATACTTATGTATACAAGACATCACTGATCTTACATGAAGATAAATTGGTTTTATCAACTAAGTTGATGATGTAAATTAGCCACCGTAAAGAGATTCAAAGCTGACGTTTTGAGTGTTAGCCCTTCCCCGGAGCGAATGGAGGAATTGTGGGATGTGTGGTTTTATATAAAGAAAATGAAGCTACGCTATTGATAACGAGAAGAACAGGAAGAAATTAGTCTTCTAAAAAGGCATCCTTGGGGATTAAGAGTGCCGCTTAGAAAGATAAATTTTTGCTCTAGAGTTTTGCGGCTTTACAAACTACCCATGTGTAAGGAAATGCCGCAGAGTGCCAAATGCTGCTTAGAATGACTAGGGAAATTAAAGTGTCTAGCGACTGGTTTGGATGCTCCTTGTCATTCCCTTCTACGTTTCGAAGGTGTTCTCGACATCGGTCACCTTGTCACTAAAGTACAACTTGTCGGCGCTTTTTGTATAATACTAAACCAACAAGTTTCAGCTTCTACTTATGTATTAAGACTATGTAAGACTGTATTGACCTTTCAAGTTACTACTGAGGCTACCTTCATTGTGGACAAATAGCTCATACCATCAGCGATCATCCACGCAAAGGACAAGAGGTCCTTTTCTGTGAGCGTTGAGCTTGGTCTCTTTTCTCCTGTGTTATAAGTATCCTCGATCCCTCTGCTCTTGCGCAGATATCCCAACAGATCACCGTATGGTAAATACTCTAAAACTATCATGATTGGGTCTAGAATTGAAAAAAATTAAATAATCCACAAACTAATCGATAAATAAGTCACTCATTAATTAATTCATTCATTCGTTCCATACATCAAAGTAAATAATCAATCAGCTAATGATTTCATCGATAAATCAAACTTAGTACCTTTTTCTGTACAACATCCGATGAGTCTTACAACATGAGGATGAGGTTTCAAAGATTTCATAAGATCCAGTTCTGTCAGTATGTCTTTTAGGTCCTTCTTTGTGGCATCGTCTTCAAAAGGTGACAAACAAACACGTTCCATGAGGTTTTTAACGCAACAACAGAACTTGTGGTTTCGAAAAACTTTGTAATGAATCCAGTCAGAGACAAGTATTTCAGAGGCTAAAACTTGTGAGCAAAATGGAAAGTACCTCTCAGTGATTTCACCGCCACCTCAGTTCCTAAAGGTCCGTAAACTGCATGGTAAACTTGACCAAAGTTTCCATTCCCTAGAAATCTAATTGTTTTGATCTGATCACGGATAAGTCGAATGCCATCCTCATTTTGACCCTCGGCTACAGTCCACAGTGCCACATCTAGAAATGATATGATTCGTGATATATATTAAGAAATCGAAGGACAACTTTATTTTACGAGAGGAATTGTCCTTCGGATAATCTTTTTTTAAAATTTTAATTTATATTTTGAATTATGAATTGCGCTAACATATAAAATATTAAATTTCATTCTACCCATATATTTAAAAAGCTATCGTCAAGAAGTCTTTGATTTTTGCCATGAAATTATAACGATTTTCTGATATCTCATGGGAGAAAAACCAATTAAATAAAGCAAAAACGTGGAAAACGGTAAAATGATTGAAACTTACTATCGTACGCACTCATGAGAGATTCTGTTTTTTCTGGCTCTACCCTCATAGCGCCTGTAGATTCTGCTTTTCCGGGCTCTAAACTCATGGTGCCTGTAGGCTCTGCTGTTTCAGGTTCCTCAAAACGGTCTCTATTTCTTTGGTGTCGACATCTACTTTACAAGAACAAGTAATTAGACGTTGAAGCTCATTACAGTTACTCTCATAATATGCATCATTAATGCACATCATTACAAGGGCTAGTTCACATTTTCTTGTAAGAAGATGTGCTTTTTATTAACTCTTACTTGCAACCAGCAACCGGCACCGAATATGCCAAAAGTTGTTATGACAGGGTACATATCTAGGCGATGAGGTCGATACAAGATCGTATCATTAAACAATGTGAGGTGAACCTTCTCTAGCATTGGACATCCAGGCCTCATTTCGGCAGGAATGAGTTTTGTTCAAGTTTAGGCACAATTTGAAGTCATTTTTGTCTGGCAGTTATTTATTTGAACAGTTTCCCGCAGCTGAAATTTATTACAATTAATTGTGGCTTTTATTTGCAGTTAGAGTTTGCTGACCTTCTGTAAATGATAAAACATACAGAGCCAACTATGAAAAGTGCAAATAAGACAACAAATCCATAGATAATGTTCAGATATATGACAGCCTTTGAGTCTGTGGAGTAAAAAGCACACAATATTGGAAACATAGCTCAATGATTTCGTTAAGGAATTAACTCTTTACACCCTAGCTAACATTAGTATGCATATTTTCCATTCTGTTCCCCATGCATTTACAAAGGTGCCGACAAGGAGAATGTGTTTTTAACAATCAAGCACCGCTTTACTTGGTGATCATTTTCGTTGTTCTCGTGACCTTATCGCGTATGATAGGGTGAGTAATGAGAAATTAGATGCTAGTCACTCTTTGGAGTCAAAGAGTTAAGCATCTATTGCAGAAGAATTTATAATAACAAGTATTAGTAAGAAAAGTTACCAGAAATTATTTATTTTTACATATTTACCAATTGTTACTATGTCATTTGCTTCACCATTGAATAGCTGCTTATTGTTACCATGACACTGGCTTCACCATTGCCTATTGTTACTATGACACTGGCTTCACCATTGAATGGCTGCCTATTGTTACCATGTCATTGGCTTTACCATTGAATGGCTGCACTCTTTTACCCAGTCTTCGCCGAATATTTTGGTTCTTGTAATAAATTTACATTAAGATTATTGCACGTTCCCCTTTTAAAGAACTGAGCTTTTTGGGGTCACACAGATAGACTTAAACTGTTATTTGTGTGTTGCAAAAAGGCCTGGCCCAATTTTGCGCTGTTGAAAATTGTCCCGTGAGAAACGACAGCTCATCGAGCCCATGTGTTTAACCATTCTGAAAGGGGGGACAAAATCTCCTTAAGCAGACAGTGCTAGCGTGGCTGGTTATGAAAGCAGCAAAGCACTCCAGAATGTGATGATCTGGCGATTTTAAGACAATAATTAATAAAGCCAAATACTTTTAAGATCGTGTAATGTCGAGGAGAGCCTTTATTGGTCTCGTATTCGCGTGCAAGTTTATATTTTTGCAGTTACTTACCTTCCGTTTTCAGGGCTTTCATAGATGGAGCCGCTAAAAGGGATAAAAATCGGCAAAAAAATTTAGCTTGTAAGAAATTCTTGTCTTATGCTACCAATGAAAAATTGACAGGATTTTCTTCGATATACAACTCTATTCTGAGTTGCAAGTTACGGTACACATCTCATTGCTTTGCTCTTACTAAATCACTTTATGAAGCTTCCTCCCAAATTCCCCAGTTCAAGAGGTTGGATAGTATACTCATGGATATGCTTAATCACATGTTAGCCCATAACAACAACCACTGTCAACTTTATAAAAAATATATCGTAATAACGATCGCAACTGTCTGCATTTGAACAAGGCAAACCATGCAGTGATTACGCATCAAAAATTCTGCAATTTTCCAGACCTATTTGAATTTTAGCTTCTACTCAGAACAGATGCAAATCACAAGAAGCTAATGAGAGATCAGATCAAAGAAGCGTAAGTTATAAGGCGAGAAAACGCTTATGTCTATGTCGTCTTAGTTTGTCTCTTATTTGTCAAGTGCAAAGAAATCTCATAGCTTAATGAAACAAAATCAAGAAATCGAAATTAACTTTTGACAAGGGAATTTTACTATATACGTGTCTTGTTAAACTATTTTTATACACATTGATAAACATGTCACCACACCATGCCAGGGAAGCGATTAAAAGGTCTTAGCGAACGATCTTGGTTTGTAACTTTAGAAAACAGTCTTTGAAATTGTTAAACACTCTTTCCCAGCTTCTCGAGATAGTGAGGCGGTCAATTCTAATTAATTTTGTGTAAACTGCGTAGACTCTGTTACTCACCAGATTCTTTCATCCGTACACTGATTGCCTCGAACTTTCCTTCGACTCCATATCTTCTTTTCGCCACTTCACTCACCCTATTCCTGGCGTAGATTCTAAGAGTATAATTCACTTTCGACGAAAGACCCTCCAGGGTCACATGAGTCATTTCCAGGCCTTGTTTTTTTGGTCTGTAAGCGACGTCATCCCCGCAAGGCTCATATAAACAGGCAGAGTTGATACATACTTTTCTTATCAAACATTCGACGTCATAAGACACAAGCGTATGATCGCCGGTTTCGGCAGGCAGCAACCAGGTTATTTCGACTACACTTTGGTTAACAAAGGCAACAGTGGTATTCCTTGGAGCTGATGGTAAACCTGTAATCAGAAGATTATTAGGGAGGAAGTAGAACTATTTCGGCGGAAAAGTCGTCAATTTAAGAAGAAATTGCCATGTAGCCAATACAACCCAGTTAAATAGTTTGAATTATTTCTTACTTGTGCAGTTGAAACCTTTTTCGTCGTTATACTTTCCATTTGGACAGGCTGAAACGAGAAGAACATTTTCCTCAGGAAGAAACAAGTTTGAGAGAGTTTTTTAAATTAGAAGGACAATGAAACGATATTTGAAAATGACTATTTATACAGGAATCTATAGTCAAATCAGAGGTTGGAAATATCAAGTATCGAAAGTAATTTATGATTCGGTCATTTAGGAAGTAAGTTTACTTCAAGATTGTTCAAGAAAACTCCCGCAATCCTCTCAACCGATCAGATACAAAACTAAAAACAATCGCGACAGTTTTCTTGTTTGAACTTTGACTTCTTATTAGCTAATAATAATGAAAATCTTTGTTTTTATTAGTCGACACTCAATTGAAAACTACTCTAACAACCTTACCTTGACACCTTCCGTCGGTATTTTCCATGTCTTCTTTACAAATACATCTCCCTTCAAACGAAGTTTTGTTCCAACTTCCTCTACTATCGCAATAGGCGTGCAGACTGCTAACCAATTGAACCGCATTTTCTTTACATCTGCCCTCAACTCTTGAGATTTCCAATACATTCGCTGGTGCTGCTGTTCTGGGTAACACTAACAAGTTGTTGCCGAGTGTCTTCTCAGGGCAAAAGTTGTAACTAACTTTGACAGAGTACAAGATACTACACGCTCCATTATTATGGAATGCTAAGAAGAGAAATTTTCCTTTTATGACTACTGGTACTGTTTTGGATGTTTTCACTTTGGTTGGGTGTCCCAGTTCTGCTATTTTTTCATATGAAGTTGTGTGTGATAGAGGATTTGGATAGTTTGACTTGTCTATAATATCCTGGTTTGATTGTTTGACATACAAGTCGATAGCATTCACGCATTTATTTTCTCCTTTTTTCCCCATGGAAGAGCAATCTGCGATGAAATACCGAACAGTTACATCAAGTCTCTTAGCTTCATTAACCGTGATCTTGTCACTTCTCAGCCAACTGTTTGGTCTCGATGTAGATACGTTGAAGTTATTGATACACGCTAAATATTCAGGAGGGGAGCCTTTTTCGTACCACTGCGATTTAAAAAAACGTCGAAACATAGTTAAACAAAGACAAATTAACCAGTGTACAAAAAATAAAAACATCATATCATAAACGTCAAATAAATTAAATAGATAAAGGACAAAAATAATGAAAAAATAACAAGCAAGTGGATTACAAGATGAATGAATAAATGAATGAAGAAAGAAAATAAAGAATTTCTCAGTGCTGTGATACTGTCAGGTCTGTCAAGGGGCCAATACTTCAAAAGTGAGGTTAAGCAGATGTTTATGGAAAACGACGAGCGGCAAAAAACGAACTTTCGCTTTCTATTTTGTGCAGCAATTAACTCAAGTTGGTTGATCGGCATTACTTTATAGAGGAGCATCCTCGCAATTTTTTCGTTAAATTCACGCGAAAAATCAAATTTTATGCGGGCCGATGTCGTTAAAATTATGTTGAAACTATTGGCTAATGTCAAATACTTACTTAAACAGAGACCTACTGGCTGTTAATAAGGGATTGCATTTTTTTACCTATGAAATTAGAAATAATAGACACACCATTCTCAAAAACCATTCATTAGATGAATTCTGTGGAGAATTGAGGTATTCCTCGCACATGAACACTAACCCCTGTGTATCCAGGTTCAGCAGTCTGTAATATCGTCCAATTCCATGAACATGAATCACACTCAGGCTTTTCTATCAGAACTTCTTGGTCCGACGAGGCTAAGCCGGCAACAAGAATAAGGATGGGAAGGAAATTGCTCCACAAATGATCCATGGGCCCAGCTCTAACTGAAAATAATTGAATAACCATTAAGTATCGGTGCATCGCTGAGAGCGGCTTAGAAAAGAACCGATACAGCGACAGGTCAAAATTTATCGTACTTTGAAAATCTTCTTTAGCTCTTTGGTGTAGTCAATTTCAGAGCGTGAATATTCGAAGATGCTAATTATGGCATTAAAGATAAAGAATTGGAAAAGAAAGTAAGACTTCCTACTTAAGGCAGTGACCTTCGCCTGTAAGTCTAAAGCAGTCATGGAAACTTCAACAGGATTCTTCTGGCTTATTCACGAAACGAGACACAGCACAAACATCAAGCGATACCGCAAAAACTGGGCGTATTTTCAACGGGTTTTTGCGTTAAATATTACGTTAGGGTGATATTGTCGCCCCCTGAAACCTAACAACGTCACCCTGTAGTATTGCCACAAGAAAAACCCAGCTTTAGCAGAAAAAAACACCAAGTTGATTCCACCTTTTCCGTTCATAGAGGACAACTTCCGTTGATATTGCTTTGCGGGAAATGCGTCTAGCTTCGAGAAAGTTTACTGTGACGTGTCACTAAGGCCATTGAAGCATTTTAAACAATTAAGTTCTATCAGCAAATTTCTTTCACCCATATTTGGAGTTGTGTTCTATGGAAATGTGATAAAAGTAAATGTTTATCTATCATGTGCTCTCCTTGATCCTCTAACGGATATAGCAATGCGAGTGTCAACCAAGTAATGACCATGCAATTAGGTTATGAAAGTTAGTCTGCATTCGTGTGGTGTTTGTGTAGTAATTTAGATTTGACCCAAATCAAGAGTCCCGCCAATGGACCATAATATAATTCTTTTTTTTTTGTTATTTGCTTTATTTATTCGTGGGTTCATGATAACATTTACCGTAAGTACTGCACACGCTTTTTAAGTTAGCAGCCAGTTATATTTTACTTTAGGCAAGATGCAAACGATTAAAACCTCGTTAAGTCCACGACGAAGTTGAGAGTTTCGTTTTAACATTTTTAGCGACTTGGCCTGCTTGCAACGGTATTGGGGTGAAAATTATTATCTGTTTGTATTGCGCACAAGGCAGTTTGTTTGTCAATAATCATAACATAGAATTGCCATATGTTATAGTTACCGCGTACCTGCTGAAACAATTTCGTAGCCGCAGTATATATTATTTCTCGGTAAAGTGGGTTTACACGTCCCTCTCGGTGCTTGAGAGATGCTTTAAGTATAATAGACTGATCGCAGACAGCCTAATGGATATTTTATCTCGGGGTAAAATATGAATAATAAGTTCAGATCAATCATACATGTATATTTCAACAGGTCACACCCCTGAAAGACACCGACAGACGGTGGTAGATGTTTTGAGGCAATAACGGCACAAATTGTGGATTCTTAAACCGTCAACAACACAGATATACGTGATCCTCAAGCGATACTTTTTTGATAAGGGCACCTTTACCATTTACACGAACCAAATTATTTGAAATTTTATTTGCAAACATGTCCGCCGAACTTGGATTTCTAAGGGCAAAAAATCCAAAATGTATTCTGGATTCAGTGGAGCAAGTGAACTTTATAGAGTCAAGTGATCAAACTACATTTAGAAAAATAAAGAAATCGTATATTTGGACGTTGCACACGACCTGCTGAAACGAATACTAATCTCACTTTAAAGCAGAGAGCGACAAAATACCTCAAACTCTAAAATGTAATTTTATTTAAAATGCCAGGAATAAACATTGCTTAAGTAAGTTACAACTACGTTGATGTTGTAATTTGTGATATAGTGCAATCTTTCAAAACTATGATATTGGAATAAAAATGTACTATTAATAACACAAACCTTGATATCGCGTATATTTGTGCTGCAAAGTTCACGTACATTTTCAGCAGACGTCATTCACCTTACTCCTTCTACTAAAGTTTTGTTACTGGAATGCAGACACAAAGGAAATGAAATCCAGTGTTTTAAACTACTGTTTAATTGTTATCCTCACCAAAGAAAGGCATATCACAACTTATGACTCTGACTACATGATGAGTTTCCAAAGGGTAACCTAAGCCTCGAAGTATTGTCTTCAGATGAACTTAAAATTCTTATTATTCTCTTCGTAAGAACTGCTACGCTTTCGCGAAAGTATTTGTATAATCTTCGCCGGATTTTATCGTTCGTTTTTACCGTTTTATCTTTAAAGAAATCTCTTTTAACACTATTTTAACTTATCTTATTTGGAACAGAGAAGATGAAACTTAAATATCGCTTTAATCTATGTCAATTACACTTGACCTTTAGTGTTGGTGGTAACATCGGACATCCTTTATCACTCTTCGTCCATCATCATATCAAAGTTGATGTAGTCCTTGCCATCGTAGACTTCCAGGTTGACATATGTCTAGTGAGCAGATTAGATAGATGAGACATGTTTCGAATAAAAAGTTAAAACTCTTTGTCAAGAAAATCTACACACCCATTCCTTGCTTTATATTTATTCCTCAGTCCATCAACTAGGTTTAGTTCCTGATTTAAAAGTCCTATTTTTTACATGTTTCTACGGCTGTTATCCGACGTGCCTCTTTCCCCAAAACGCATCCAAGTTAGCTTAGGATAAACATAGACGTCTAATTTAGCTTGCGATGAACATAACAGTGCGAGGATTCAAAGTGTTGAAGTTTTGGAGAGCGATACCTGGACCCGAAAAATGATCACTAAAAGAGACGACATCAAATAGACCATCGAAATATTTTTCCACTTTTTGAGATGCAGGTATCCAAAAATACACAACTTCGTGATTGAAAAGTGTAAAGTTTTAATTCTTCTGTTTCGTTTCCTTTCCAAAATCTCACAATCACATCAGTTTCTCCTCACACTCCCACTTTTTTTATGTGTCAGGAATACTGCACTTCTATATGGTTATGTAAACTTCGAGTTTAAAGTAAAAAATTACTGAGCAAAAGATTAGTTTAAATAAATGTTTTTTGTTTTTGCTTTTGTTTAAAGAAAAAGGAAAGAAAAACAAAGCATTACTAATCATGATAGTAAACAAAAACATATCACGAAATGAAAAAATGTTTGGGGAAGACCGACTGACAAACCTTGTGATCATCCAGAAGTCGCTTAACTGCAGAGCAGAGCCACTGAAATGAAGGTCTCTTTTCTGGTTGCTCTTCCCAACAGTTAGACATTATGGAATACCTTCAATGAGAATGACACTTACGCTTTTCTTACAAATTTTTCATTTCACGTCAATTTTACTGTATATTGTAAAAGTGAACTAAAAGGTAATAGAAAATTAGTTTTGTGATCTGTGTTATTTATCGAATCACTGATGTTTATAGTGGGTGAAACAAAAGAGTTCTTAAACTACTTACAATTCTTGTGAGATGTAAGATGGCTTAGGCATGCGATATCCTGTCCGCAGTAAGCCAGCTATCTCTTTTGGTTTTACCCCGGGATATGGGGATTCACCTGAAAATAATGAAGGACACTGTTTGCTAAAACAGATAAGCTTTTTTAAAAACATGCCATAATTGGTCACGATATAAAACCAAGGGCGTCCATCTTTGACTCGGAAAACTTACGCAATCGTTGCACCGAAAGGGAACCAAACGAATCGCTCTTTCCATGGGTGTTTCTTGGATATTATTATATTCGAAGGTCTTTTCCTTTTTTTTGTCGCAGTTATCTCACAAAACGTTACCATATCAATGTTTCAACCCTCAAGTGCCATGGCGTGAAAATGGTATGAAATTTTGCGCGAATCACGTTGTTATCGTAAATTGTAGAACCAGAGCCCACTTTTTTTTTCTGTTTTGACTTTTCCACATTTTTACGTCTTTAAGTAAGTAAAAATATGTATTTAAGCTATGTCGTACCTAATACATACGTAGGTCGTATAATTCTGGTAGATGGAAGTCCATTATTAATGAGAAATTTCTATCTAACCTGAATATTCTCTTCTGCATTTTATCTAATTGCAATAAATCGTTCAGTCTTATATTTCAGATCAGCCAATCCCCTGAATGAATTAATATTTGGGTTTACACTTCAATTACGGCTGGTCCAGATGTGCCATTTGCAATAATCAACGTGTAATTTAATAATCACTTATTTCATTCAATTTCGATCCCGAGTGTTAATGTCAAAGTAAACACTTTTATTAGTTGCTCAAGGGGCTAAAAGATGATTTCGGCCTACTCAACTTTATTATTGCTAAAGCGATTGGAAAAGTGAAGGCTGTCTCTTCCGAAATGTTTATCAGAAATTTCCAATTTAAAATCCTAAGAAACACAGTTTTCACCAATTCTCGTCCAATCAAAATAGGGTTCCAGATGATATTTGTACCTTTTGTCGAGGTGAGTATTTGTCATTCAAATGAAAGGCTCCCCAGGTTTTTGCATTATCGTATTAAATTACCTTTCACTTGAAAAGCAAAAAAAAAAAAAAAACTTCTCTAGCACAGATTATATTGAGACCTCCCGCGGGCGATCAAACCCCATAACATCAACTAATTCCGGCGATTCTTGTTTCCCCTTATACTAAGTTCCCTTCCTCTTTTTGTCGATGACTGCGCATCTCTTCACTCTTTCGGACGAGCCAGACAATTATAAATGAAGCCACTTAGGAGATAGTATCTCGATCGTGTTAAAAAGTCTTAAAAAAGGCCGATTATATAGAAACCCCGGTCAACCAACACTGTTGCTTTCTGCATTATCAGCGGTAATACATAGTATCGATATATATGTTAGATAATAAGAGGTTCATTTGTGTGATTAAAAGAACAAGTAACTATTTACGATTTAGCAAAGGCAAGAAAGGAGAAACTTTCCAGTTTTTAAATAGTTTAAAGAGTTCTTCGCAATAAATACATACCAATGGTAAACACCTCCCACATCACAATACCGTAAGACCATCTGTAGATGACAGACGAAAAGGAACAATTTGAGCTTATTTGATATCACCATGACTCTGATTATATATGTACACTTACAATAACCGAGTGTCGCATGGCAGAAAATTACATAATTTTTCGAAATAAAAAAGGTAGTTATGATAATCGAAGGTATCATCACTTTAGACTATTAGCTTTGCATTGCCTAGATTTCCCGCTTGAAACGGGTTTCAAGTCCAAGAAACAGAATACATCTATTTTTGATCAGAATGTGATCACTTCAAAAAGTCTTTTAAGAATGAATAAGTGTGGCGCAAAGTGTGGTACTTCGCTTGATCTGAAAGAGTCATGACAACTTAAGTAAATAGGCAGGCCAATTTGACTAATATCCTAAAGAAAAATTTGTTCTCTTGAAAAATCGTTGTGACAATTTGCAGCTTTTTTCATGTCGGTGCTGTTTCCGGTGAATTTTTTTCCAAAATTATTTGAAAAAGGAAAAAATGAACAATTCATTACCTAACGACCTCAGCTTTTTAGGACGTCATATCTCTATAATATGTCAACTAATTTTCGCTATACGTTATTTGAAGGATAACAGAGCAGCTAATTAACGAGGCAATCGACCAATCGGTTTGGCAAATTAGTCGAAATCTTGGGGAAATTTGGGATAAATGTAAACAACCTACATGTCACTCTTGGTGGAAGATTTGCCATGGAAGAGAGATTCCGGGGGCATCCACTTAGCTGGAAGACGAGCCTTCAAAAGAAAAAATCGAATAACTATCGAATAAAATGTCAAACTAAGGAAAACTGAGTATTATTGTAAGAATAGTGCCACGAACGGTCACGTTGCGAATGATTTATTCACGAGTTGAGGGGTTTTGCTTGTACAAGACGTCATTGAGTCTTAACGCGATTTACCGGTTTTTCATTATTATCAAATTATGTATATAAACACACCATATAAAGAGTGTTGGCGCAAAGCTTCATTTTCATGTTGTAGTCACCTGTTTTTTTCTAATGTGGATATCTCCCTTTAAACCACGGGCTAAACCAAAGTCTGTAATCTTACACACTTTGCTGTCCCCAACCAACACATTGCGAGCTGCTAAATCACGGTGAACAATCTGCAATACAGCACAATAACACAAGCTTGATACCCCGAGATGTTTTAACATAAGCTCTACAGGCTATTCCTTTTCATCTCACTTAATATCGCTTGATTTGGGTAGGTACAGAACTGACCTTGAAATGTTAGGAGAGCGGCTAACTTCACAAGGATTGCAGGTATAACAGACCCACAGATGATTCGAAACCTTTCCTTGTAGAATGGTATAACAGAGCTCTATTGTAAATGTCTGTCGTATAGGAAATAACTTGTTTCGTCACACATGACCTCAACGCGTAGTGAGATTTTAGGTACTTAGCTTTAACAGAATATGAATTGTAGGGTTTACCTCCATTGTTGACAAATAGTTCATACCATCAGCGATCATCCACGCAAAGGATAAGAGATCCTTTTCTGTAAGTGCTGAGCTCGGTCTCCTTTCTCCTGTGTTATAAGCATCCTCGATCCCTCTGCTCTTGCGCAGATATCCCAATAAATCCCCGTATGGTAAATACTCCAACACTATGAGAAGTGGATCTAGAAGTATGTAACGGTGCTGAATCAGTCAATTCAATAAATAAGAAATTCGATGAATGTGGAATTAGTCAGTCATCAAGAAATCAGCCAACCGAAATCAATTTAAAATGTCCAGTACCTTTTTCGATACAACAGCCAATGAGCTCAACAACATGGGGATGAGGCTTCAAAATTTTCATGAGATCTAATTCCGTTAGCATGTCTTCCAAGTCCCTCTTTGAAGCGTTGCCTAGAACATAAGTGAAGATTCAAACGACATCAATTACAATGAATTTAAAAGAAAGCCCTTTTACATCCTTTACCTAAAAGGAAATTAAGAGGTTGGTAAAATAAGAAAGTGCTTTTCCACTTTTCCACTTGATTTTTGTTCTTCATAAGGATATATAGAAGTGATAAGAAAAATGAAGGGTACCTTTCAATGACTTAACAGCCACTTCAGAATTTAAAGGTTTGTAAACTGCTTTGGACACTTGACTGAAGTTGCCACTCCCAAGCACCTTTACTGTTGTTATTTGATCACGATCAAGTCTAAAGTCATCCACCTTTTGCCGCTCAGCGACAGAACTCATTGCGACGTCTACGTAAAGATTGTTAATTATGAAAATCGATGGTGATAAGAGAAACAACACAATTATGATTAGTGATTAAATATGTGGTCCATGTTAAGGCACATGGTGTTTATTCTGCCGATATGCTTGAGTCAAATACAGAAAAAACTTTACTACCATGTGGAGTCTCTTGCGCTGTTTGCCAGTGGTTTCACACCACCTACAGGTCAATGTTCTTTTTGTTATTTTTTTCTGAAATTGACTTTGTCTTTGAAATCGAAAACGATTTAACAAACCATCTTTGTATTTTAAGAAGTCGGTAAATTGATATCAAGCGCAACGTCAGTAAATCGAACATAGTAACACTGCTCTAAAATATGTAAATAAAGTGATATTGTAACTTACCCTCGTTCACCACAACGCGAGAATCTCTTAGTTTTGTCATTTTCTTGTGGTGTGCGTTCCGTCGGCGGTTCGATGGTCCATGCAAAGGCAGTCTGTGTTGATCTCGCCAATGTGCTTAAGTCAGAGAAAAAAAAAAGGATGGTGACCTTTTTGGAGACTCCTGTGCCGTTTACTAGTAGTTTCACACTACGCACCGACAGTCTTTGCTTTGTTAATTTTTTTTGTTACCAATTTAATGTGTTTTTCCGTTTTTCTTAATTTGGCTTTGTCTTTGGTATCGAAATAGATTGAGCAAATGGCCTTTGCATTTTAACACATCGGTAATTTCATATCAAGCTCATTGTCAGCAAATTGTATTTAGTGACACTGCTTTAAAACACGTAAATTACATGATTTTGCAACTTACCCTCATTCTCCATTACGCTGGTGAATGCACGGTGTTCGTTTCTTTGGCGGTTCCATCTAACAAAGAATGGCACAAAACTGATTTTAGTCATGGCTATACAGAATTATTATTTCGGTAAAGCTGAAAGGAAACGACAAATTAGCGACATTTTGAGCCATAAAATAGCATCAATATAATCTCTGTTAATCCTGGTGCGTCAGTTGTTGAACTTTTGAAATTCCTTGAGCTAATGGTATTTCTTTATATCTCGCCAAGACATTTGCAACTCATACAAGAATAGCAACTTCATTTTGATTTTCATTAATGATCCCAAACTGACCTGTTGTATATGATGTAGCAGGCAAAAAACACAGTGCAAACTACAAATAAACCAGCCAGTCCATAGATAATTCTGAGATGCAATGTTACCTTGGATTCTGTCGGGTAAAAGACAGGATTGCTTTATTTATTATAATGAAGCTGATTCAATCAGAATTGGATCTTAATCATGGTTGTGCGTGACGAAAATATTTTCTTCGAAAACACTTTTAAATCCTCCGGCAACATTCTTACCCGTCCTCGATCATTTTTAGTTATTGAACGTCCATCGCGCAGAATGCCGCGAAATGAATTGGCGGAGATATAGGCTATATCTACGGAAGCACTTTTTAATAATATTTTTTAAATTTTGTATCACTAATTGAAAAAAAAATTTAGTTCCTGTTTGAATTCAGGCTCCAAGTGGTCTTCGACGGGATTCGTTGATGTTGCTATAGTTTGGCGTTTAGGAATAAGCAGTCGAAAGCAAAAGTTTAATTATTTTGTTATTACATTTGAGGTTACTTCTAAATTATTTAAGTGTTAGGTGAGTAAATCTAAACTTCAGAACATTAATGTACAATTTACATCTTTTAGTACTAAAGGGATGTAATTAAATATGATTTCACTTGAGCACAGTGCACAAGAGATAAACCGTTTGATTGTAATTGGCGTGATATCCTTTTTAGTCCACGAACTTACTCACCTGGTCCGTTAGTCCCTACAGTTATTTCCCCGAAGTTTGCCTCAATTCCATATTTTCTCTTTGCCAAATCGCTTACTCGGTTTCTGGCGTGGATTTTCACGGTGTATTTTACAAATGGAGAAAGATTTCCAGCAGTAACGCAAGTCATGTTCAAGCCATCCCTTTTTGGTATGAAAATGACGTCACTCCCGCAAGATATATCCTCGCATTTGTTGTCGTTTTCACCTTCGCATCGCTTACGGCATTCAACGTCATAAAACACTTGGGTCTGATCACCAGTAGTTGCAGGAGGCTGCCATTTTAACTCCAACGCGCTATGGTTAATGAAGATGACTTGGACAATTTTCGGGGCGGATGGAATAACTGAACACATACATATTAAGAGATGATATTAGAGGATTGCAGACAATGTTTGTTCAGGAGTCAAACTGTTCCTTGTAGTCTATTTTCTTATTGATTTTAAGTAAAACCCTCGGAGACTAAGCTAACATGCAATGAAATACGGCAAAACGCACTTTTCTTCAGCATGTACTGACACGTTTCCTCAACTTATATTCAGAATATTTATCTGTCCGAGCAAGTTTTAAGGAAAATATTCTGAGGTATTTGCCGGGTTTTATCTGCGTGCTATGGTGGCAATAAGGAATTGTGTCATTTTATTTAAAAGAGATGCTCATAGAATTAAGTTATAGTACTGAAAGGAAAAACATGACGTGTAAATATTACCTCTAAATAGTACCGATAAAGTTAACTGGACAGGTACCATTCAAAACATAAAAAAATAGACGAAATTGAGAATTAATTTATCTCTGCTTGTGTACCTGTACAATTAAAACCATTTTGGTCGTTGAATTTATCGCTTGGACAATCTGAAAGGAGAAAACACATAAAAAGAATTAAAATTTTTGATCAATCTCTCGGATGAGTTGAGATGATTTCGACCGTTTCACTTTTTCTCTATACGGAATCTAAATACTCTTAAGAGAAGCTGACAAAGCCAATAATCATTGCAGAAGTCAAAGCGCTTCATCAGAGAAATAAGTAATTCAGAACAATACTTAACTTTTTAAGGCATAGACATTGGCATAGTTGATAACCAAGTTCAACTTTATCTCCCTTTTAATATAGCAACCCATACAGCTAATTGGGGGCACTTATCAACTCTAAAAGAACTTAATAATAAGGAAATATGTTAATCAAAGACGCATGATCTGTGTCTGATAAAAATCAACCGATCTGAAAAAAATTGTCTATTGGGAAATGATTTGACTTTGGAAGAAAGCCATTTTTAGGGCTCAACTTTTAAGTTTAGGTTTAACTCTATGTATCTTGAATATGCTGCACAATTAATCGTGTTGAAAATTAATGTGAAAAAACCTTTATAGTTGCACTTGTTATCGCGAGGTTTTTAGTCATCATATTACCTTTGCATTCTCCGCCACTATTCTCCGTGTCCTCCCTGCAAGTACATCTTCCCTTCAGTGAACTGATGTTCCAAACGCCATCGCTTTTACATTCCAGACTAAGAATACCTTTATTGTAGATGGCATTTGTAACACAACCTCCTTGAACTGGCACTGAGTTAGTAACGGGAGCCACAGAGCGTGGTAAGGACACCAAGCCACTAACAACAGTAATCTCTGGGCAAACAAGATAACTGACAGTGACAGAGTGAATGTTGCTACATGAGCCTCGGTTATGAAACGCTAGAACGATGAACTTTCCTTTCACTTGAAAACCAAAATGTCTCTTTGCATTAATACCAAGGGTTGGCAAAGTTATTTCAGCAATCTTCTCGTAAGTGGCTTTGCTTTGTAAAGGGTCAGGTGCCGATAAAGTAGTAGACTGATGCACGTAAAAGTCGAAATATTCCCTACAGAAATTAGTTCTACGAAATGTTGTACAGTTCACTGTTCTGTATTCAATGGTAATATTAACTTTTTTTACTTTGTTTGGGACTGAAATAAGATTACTTCTTAGCCAGGTATTTGGTTGTTGGTGGCCGACATCACAGGTGCGGTACTCTGGGTTCCCATAAGAATCATGTAACGGGTACCACTGTTCAGAAACAATGATAAAATAACAATATTTCAATCCAATGGATTTTTCGGCTAGTCTATGCTTAGTAGTTTGTAGACTGATATATGGGGATTTCCAGGAAAAGATTAGAATTTGAACCCATATTTAAAACATACCATAAAGAGACTTGATATTAAACTCACTGAGCTATCTTTCTTGTACAACAGACAGGGGACTCGAGAAAGTTCTTTTGGTCAGTTTTGGAGACACGTTATCAACAAATTATAAAGTCATCCTGACCTCCAGTCATGAATAAGTCAAAATGAAAACGCCAAAACACTGAAAAAATTCACTTGCTCGGCTTCGTTACAAAACTGAAGACTTCTCGTGTATGTTTTATATAGAATGTTTGAGATAGATGTTTTTTTTTTTATCACAAATCGGTGTTCAACTAGGCTTCTACAACAGTTATGACTGTCTTATACTGTCATTGCACACTTGATGAACTGATCTTTATAATGACAGTTAAAATGAGTGCTGCATTTAAAATTACATGTTGCAGGCAGTGACGGTTTAAAAGGTGTTCAGGTAAACTTTTTTGGCGTTCTTATGTAAATACGAGTCGATTTATCCTCTTCAGAAAATAGTTCTACCGGGCTTCGAACAGTTCCTTGAAGTGTATTTAGTAGCAATAACAATCTTTAAAGAATGTGCTTTGGACGGATTCCTGATTACGTCTTAGTTGATAAGTTTCTGTCTACATACAGCACAGTTCATTTATCGTGGGTAATTAAAAGGATCAAATGTGCTTCTCCACGCTTAACTCCATCCGGCTTTACGCAAGTCAGCTTTCTTAGTGGCGTTTCTGTTGGATTGCGCCCTTGACTGTAACAGTCTCACAATGCAAAATAAGTCACGTTTTTCATTGAATTGTGAATTTCATGTTCTGACTCGAAGTAACCAAGGGAAAGTATTCTATTGCAGATTCTTTTCGCAGTTTTCCATGGTGCGCTCTTCTTGTCTATGTAATCTAGTCCCTTTTCGGTTCAATAGGATAGGCTAACGAATTATGCGAGCTGGTGGGTTATTAGGGCAGGTAAAATTCAATTTTTCTACCTTTGCCCATAGTCAACGGTAGAGAATCGCCGAATCGTGTTATTGATCAGTGGAAAGTCAGACAATAAATCTGAGCAGATTTCTGTTCACTTTGGATGACAAAGAAAATCATTCGAAGTCTCGAAAGCGTGTTTATGATAAGTTTCTAGGCGTATTTGTAGCACAAAACTTCGCCAAGATTTTTACTAGATTTTTTTTTGTGTGTGTGTGAATTTGGAAATGAAGTGAATAATAGTCAAATTGATCAATAAAATGTACATAAATTTCGCATTTTAGCTACACTGTCAGAGCTACTGCAATGCGAATGACTGGAAAATTCATCGTGAAATGTTGTTAGACGGCAAGTCAAGTGTAACCCATTCGGTGACACATTTGCATTCACAAACCTCAACTGATCAGATATTAATTTACATATTCAAATTTTTTCACTTTAACGACCCTCCAGCTGGCAAAAAATATTTCTTTTTACAAATATATCTATAGAACATGTCTATATATTTTTCAGTTAGCACTCCCCAATCTTCAGAATCGCAAATTTGATATAATAAAAGTCTTGAAACTAAAAATTTTTTTGCGGCCAACTGATTAACTCTTAATCCCTGTGAAGGCAAATCGTTTGTGTAGAAAGCAACTGCAATATTAACATATGTTTTGCAACCTTCGCGGTGTATAGAGAATCATTGTTTAACGGAAGAAGCATACCCCACGAGTTCCTAGTGCCGGACTTGAGGTTATCCAGTCGCTCCACCTTTTGTCTTCTGTCGGCCTCTTATACAGATACGCTGTAAAGGAAACAGGTCGTCTTATATGAGTAACAAATCTATGTGAAAAATGATTCTACATCATGTGCACATGCAACAGCCTTGGGGTGGAAGTGGACCTATTTGACCTTCGAGGCTCGTGATTCTGCCTATGACTAATTTCCATAATTGCTCATAGGCGAAGCTTAGATATATTCCTCTCAAAATATTTTTTTGTTGACAAATTTCATAAAACACAGGTTTTCTCTAACTAGAAAATCGACGTAAAACTACTACTGCAAGAATATCTTTCTCAGAAAGTATTACATCATTTCATTCATACCTTTATCCGCCGATGAGAAGGTGAAAATGTGTAAGAGGGTAACGATTGTAATTGAGCAGTACTCCATGTCGTTGTTACTGCACCTTGAGCTACATAGGAAAACATGAAGCTTATAATAACACAGGAAAAGCTCTGCAATACTCTTTGGTCGGTTATTTTTGTATGCTTTATCTAAGAAGTGAATAATACTATTTTTTCAACTGAAACAGAATTATCACCATATTTTGATTACTAAAGCTACTCTTATTAGATCTCTTAGATCAGACCCTTGACTAGTTCCTTTAACAAGGTTAAGACAACTGCTCACAATCGGAGGAGGACCCAGCCACCGTAGAATGTAAATTCTTGAGGAACCCCAAATGTTCATTCTCAGTGCCTTTTACAGATAGCATTAAGTTTTCGCGTTACTTTTCAGGGCCTGGGCTGGGAAAGACGGGAAAGAAGGCTCTAATGGTGATGGACTCAATTGCATAGAAGGGAAACTTTCCGCGGAAAAGAAATAAAAACAGTTTACGAAAAACATTTTAAGAACAGTTTTGGACCGAAGTGCGACGTACATGCAAGGAATTCCCGTTTTTTCTGAAGCCATGCACAACGGATTTCCTCAAGAAAATCTATTTTGAACCCATTGATTCTAAATTAGGCTTCTATTGCATCACGTATCGATCAGATTATCAGCATGCTTATCTTATGCATACGCTCACCCTTCTTTAATAATGTTAGAGCCTCTCCCAATTTCTTATTTCCAACAGGTCTACCGACTGGCCATTGATTTTTATAGAACCGCCCATTTCATTTTGCTGTTTTTTGTTACATGAAAATAACGATAAAGACAATACTTTGAGAGGTAAGCAATTTAGTGTTGCTTGTGATGTGGTGACCGTGTTTTGTAATCCATTATCTTTTTAAGGGCCGTCATATACATTTTCAGTCCAGGTAGTCATGATTTATAAGGCAAAAATAGGATGTTCAGCGTTCTTTGCTTATTAATAAAACTTTGATAGTTTCCCATGAAAAGCACTTTATATTAACGAGTTTTATTTTAGATTTTCTTCATAAGCAGAAACTCCATAACCATACAAAACATACTAATGGGGCACAAGTCTACATTCCTTTTTTGTCTCATGTTGAATGATTGCCTCTAAAAGGTAAGGTGAACAACAAAATTTAAAAAAATGAATTATCCTTCCATCATGCTGAATATTGTTCTTTCTCTAGTTTGTTTGTTTTTGTTTTTTTTCTTGTACGAAAGGGTTGTCTGGGACAGGAGGAAGGAGTTCCCTCCTCTGAGCTGTACCTTTAAATTGTTTTTTGGCCTTAATAACTATTCATTTATTTATGGGTTCATTTAGAGATACATTTGGGCAAACATTTGGTTTAATTCGAGCATGGCGTCACCATGACATTGCGTATTTTATTTTTTTATTTCCACGTAGATTAGGTTAGTATTGAACCTAAAGAATTTCAAACAGCTTTCCCAAATATCAAAAACATATTTTCTTCAGTGTGGCTGTGTCTTTGTCAGCAGCAAAATTTTGATGTGAAATATCTAGTGTCAGCGGATAGATTTTTTTCATTTGCTCGTCACAAGCTGTTATCCCAAGTAATATCCTAAACACAGGAATGTGATTGAGTTTTAACGTGAACCCATGACTAAAGCTGATAAAATTGCTTAAAAATTACAAGGGTTATTGCAATATGGAAAGAGATAAACTGATATCATCGAAATTGTTGTTCCACATTATGACACAAAAAAACTTCTTCTTTAAAGCAAGACCAGGTGTCTAGCGAACGACATGCGCAAAGGGTACAAAGGTTTTCGTGAGTGTGAGAAATTATCATTGTTTAACGTTTGAGCTCGCAGTCGACAAGAACGGTCTTCCCAAACCTCAGGCCATCAATACAAATTTAACAAATTTTTGATATTAGACGTTTTTGGTTCTCCTTAAAAGACAATTCAATACTAGTTCTTTGAAATAGAAACCGACTGGTTGCTACGAACCTTTGTTGCAACTCTAATGCAGCCTTTACACGTTATTAAACTACCGACAAGCAACAATCAGTGTACCTTAATTTTTAACACCATGTGGAGTACAAACTTTTGCTCAATTTTTTTTAAAATTTACTTTAAACAATTTCAATATCAAAATAAACTTGAGGGTCCAATTTTTTGGCAAATCAAACCGTTTCCTCACGAAATGTAATTTTGCTAAAAAACACCACTAACAAATATTTCCAAAACGAAGCCTTATGCATCGTGGGCAGCAAGCAATTTTTGCATTCCACTTCTACATGCATACTAAGAAGGTAAAGTCACCCAAGTAGAACTAATCATCACAATTCAGAGGCATTTGTACCCCAGACAATATGGAATGAAATGAAGGAAGCAAATTCAGCGAATCCGCGTAGCTTTACTTTATCATAAAGCGAGTATATTTCGGTTGCATATGGCATATCTGCTAATTGTGTTTACAGTTACTTACCTGCACTGTAGTAAGAATTTAAAAATAGATGAATCTCTCACTACCGAATGGAACAGAGCTCACAGCCAGCAAACCCCAGCTAACTGAGCTGGATAAAATTAGCTAACAATATTAGACTCACATGTGTTAGCCTTTGTTAATAAAGACCTGCGCCAATGGTAACGTCGGTCTGCGCTAATATATGGGCTCTAAGGGTACGTAGTGTAACAATCATATGGAGGTACTGCATATACTTATGTAGCAAAATACTAAAGATACTGCAGTTGATTACTGGTGTAATTAAATTAAATTTATTTCAATTTATTTTGTGTCGTACCTTAACTAAAATCTCTTACGAAAGATTTCTAACAAAAAAAGGAACCAATTGAAAAAAAAACGTTTGCCACGATCAGTATGCGAAAAAAGCTTCACATAAGACTAGCAAGAATTCTGAAAGTGATATGCCTATGGCGTTCTGTAGCCTTGGGGCTTTGGAAGGCATCCAGAACCCTGTGATATTTCTTCCACTCTCGTAGCAGATCGAGAATTTTACAATAGAAATTATCGACGTTAACTTCCACGAAAGCTTTAACTGGAATGCAAGACATGACGAAGAAAATGAAGGATACATTTTTATTTCAACTACCATTTAATTTTTATGAAATTGATTTTATTGAAATTGAAATTTTATTGAAATTAATTTGAAGAGTAAACTTAGCTATTTACTGGTGTCCAACGTACATACCTTGGCAGGAATATAGTAATGGGAACAATGATCAAATTTATTTCCAATGCACGCAGCTGCAGCTTGTGTAGTTTTCGATGAATCTCCGTATTTTCACTCTCGACGAGTTCGTAGTTTCGAACATTTTAACGATTCCCCGGATCTACGGGGCAAAGGATTATTCCGTCGACAAGGACATCTCGGGGCTGGCTTTGAGGGAAAAAACCTTAGAAACTGACACCATGGCTTCGGGCCTTCTTCGTCTTTAAAATGTAAGCTGCACGCCCTTGTTCCAGGCTTTGCAGAAAATTTTGACGCACACCTCGGAGCCTAGCAATCCAAGTCTTTCTTGCTTTACTATTCTCTGGAGGTTTATTACGTCTCACCGTCTTTCCATCAACAAATTTGTTACTATAACTATGGCAAACTGGCACACAGTAATAACTTACTCCACGAGGAACTGTTTCCTTTGCCGCCATATTGGAAATTGTACTTACCCTATACTCGCTTTCGAGCTACGCGTTACCTCTTTCCTCTCGATTCAAATATCCTGGGAAAGGGCTATTCTCCATGCCCTACTTGCAAATAAATCTTCCCTTAAGTGAACTGAAGTTTCAAACGCCATCGCTTTGGCAGTACACACTGAGAATACCTTGATTGTAGACGGCATTTGTAGCACGACTTCCTTGAACTAGCACCGAGTTGTTAGGGGGAGCTATGGAGAGTGGTAAGGACACCAAGCCACTAACAACAGTAAATTCTGGGCATACAGGATAACTGACAGTGACAGATTAAATGAAGTTACATGAACCCTGGTTATGGAAAGCCAGAACGATATGCACTCCTTTAACTCCAACGACTTCTTAAATCATGACAACAACGTATCTAAAAACAATGACCTCTCATTTGTTTAGAAGAACATTTTTTATTGATGTTTTTAATCACAAATCAGTGTGTAGATCCAAATCCAAATGTACTTCCGAGATAGTCGTCATTTTCCTATCGCGGCATTTGCATACTTGATGGCTGATCTTTAAAGTAAAACAAAGAAAACTAAAAATCATTTTAAAGTGCTCCATTTAATAAAATTATGAAAAAAAATAACTCATGTGCACTGCTCAAAAACCGACCGGTTTCCGAATACATATAATGAAGGGCTTTTTGATGGGAAGTCAAGTATAACCGATTCATTGAAACATTTGCGTCCATGCACAAATCAAAATTTTTCACATTATACACCTTCCGGCCGGCAAATGATATGTGCGTATAAATCTAATATGTATTTTTCAAGTAGTTTTCCAGTTTCAGAATCTTGGGTCTGATACAGTAAGTCTTAAAATAGAAACATTTTTCCGGGTGGCAAACTCCCGTTCCAACATGGATTGTTGAGAAGGCAACTAGAACAATAACATATGGTTTGCAATCTTAACTAGAGGATTATTGTACGGAAGGAGGGTACACCAACGGGTCCACTAGGTGCCGGCCTTGCTATTGTCCAGTCACTCCATTTTTTCATTCTATCGGCCTCTTATTTAGATACGCTATAAAGGAAACCCGTCGGTTTGTGAGCGGTACATATGAGTTATTGACTGAGTGTGAGGTCAAGAAGGCTGGATATTGGGCAAAAATAGAACGAGACGAATATGCAGCCATCTTGACCGAACGCTTGGTCAATAAAGGATTTCATATATTGCCAAAATATTTCGCTTATTTAGAATCAAGAATTACCTGTTTATTTCGAGAGGCGAGAAAGAAAGCCAACCATTTTTGTAGCACTATAAACCCCCGAGAGTCGTTTATGTTTTCTTAGTCCTGACTGTATTCGGCAGGTTTTAGCGACTTCATCTCCGACCCTGTCCAAAAATTACGAACTTTTTAGTAAGTTCGTTCCAAGCAATTTTACTTTCTTGCGCGGGAGCAAAGTAGGTAATCCCGAGCGGGCAAGATGGGGCTATGTTGCCCGCTCAAGTACCCAATCAGAACTGCTAGCGATATAACAAATCTCTTTTACAAAGCGCTTGAATTTTGTTCATTTGTGTATGCATTAGCCTCGAAGTGGAAGTGGAACCATTTGACCCTTACGACGTTTTGACTGATGAGTACATGGCATGGTATAATGGCGGAAGAAGAGAAGTTTTTGCGTTGCAAAATCAAACAGATACTGAGTACAATACGCTCAAAAGGCATACAAAATATGCACACAGAGGTAGACCCACACTAAAATATGTCAAGCGTTTTTGGAACTGGTAGGTCCGCGAACCTTATGATAGATCTCCTTACGAGGGAACATTTATGAATGAATCTTTCATCGAGAAACATGCTACAAACGCAAATCTCATGGGGTATGTAGACGTGATCGTGAACCCGGTTCACTGATTTTCTGATATTCTGCTTGGCAAGCAGAATATCGATGCGAAGTTTGAAAAGAGTTTAAGGAGCAATAGCAGAAAGGTTAGAGAATTTGTCTATGCATGAAGTTTTTCATGTATGCCCATGTCCTCCACATTGTGCTGTTATGTATATGTTTAAAAACTATTAAATAAAAGGAAGGTAAGTTTAACTGTCGAGAAATAATTCGTCAAAGTATAAGAAAGATAAAATATCTTGCCGGTCGATATTTAACATTGTTTTCTTTTAGCAAACTGATGTGCTCTTGCAAGAGTGAGGCTCATGTAGCATATTATTGCAACTATAAATTAAGCAGTGTCTGATTTTGGATTTCCAGCAAGGGGAGGAGTTTGTCCCAGGCGGTTAACAATTTTCAGAGGGACATTTGGTTTTTTTGGGAATCACTATATATTTTTTTAATCTAATGTACCGGGTGTTATGTTATCAACAAATGCAACGTTTTAGAGTGAATTGAACATACAGTCGTCGTCTAGAGGAAAAGTTAAATAAGTTAATTAACAGGAGAGTATCAAATCTGAACCGAATTTTACTTGCTTCAATACAGTTTTTCAACTTTCATCTTGAAAATGGAATACAATGTGAGCTGCTTGTTCTTTTGTGGATCCTTATGACACCAATCCAGATTAGTAACAAAGTTCGATACAATACAATCATATTCCCTGGATTTTGGTCCTTGCTTTACTTTTAATTAATATTCTGAAATTTAAACCAAAATATTGTTTTAAGAAAATTTTGTACTAAGATGAATTACATTTTCCTTGTTTCTTTTTCTTTTGAGACACAATTTGAAGAGCGCCTAAATGACCCAGAACAGGTATTTAGATGAGACATATTTTGAAGGGGATATATTTGCTCTAACCGCGGCAATCCTGCAATGGCGCGCTCTAGATCAGACACTGATTAAAAAAAGTACAAAAAAAATTCTGGTCCTCCAAGTGGAAATTTGCAATTATTGTAATTATTAGAGCCTGAATTTTTTGTTCAGTCTCAACTGCTTCAAACTAACTGGTTATTCAAGGGCAAATGAAAATGGTGGTTTGATTAAAGTGATTTCAATAGGCCTGGGTACTGCTGGTGAGTCACATGAAAGCTATTGGATGCCAAATGCTTTGTCAACTTTTGTGTCTTGGCATGTTTTAGAGTATTTTTTTATTTTCCCATGAAATTAAAAAATGACTATTTAGTTTGTAGTAGTTGATAAAGAACGAAAGAAAACAAAAGATTCACAGTACACCGCTATTAGTTACCCTATTCTTTCAGGAGAATGAAAATCATTCTAAACACTAACAGATAATTAGTACTCACCATGCAGGGTTAATGAAATCACTCTAACGAATCTACCAAAATGAATTGACTAAAGTATTTCAGCCTTGTAACTCCAAGTAAAAGCAAACAAATAGAAGGGTAATAGTACAAAATATGCCAAAGTATATTTCACAGGTTCATGAAAACCACTCTAACAACCCCATAAAATTAATAGTTCACCTGCCAATAAGCTTTGGAAGTGACTTTTTGTTTTCTTTTGGTGATAAGAAAACTAAGCGATTGGTTTTCTTGCGTGAGTTAAGCGTCTTAACCTTAGCGCTAGGGGCTGTTTATAATGAAAAGCTATCTCAGCCTGGAATCTTTTGTTAACTAAGATGAAGAAAACATAACCTACAACTCTTTAATCCACAAAACAAATTTTAATCAAGTCAAAACTTAAAATAAAAACTGGAAATAGTGTCTAATAATAAGTAATGAGTAACGATTGAAATAATACCCAATAATATATCGCGCTACCTCTCTCCACCCAAGATTAGGATCTTCACACTACATAACAAATGCTGATTTCAGCTCCCTGTATACAAATGTGAGAAACCTGCATCTCTGGCATACCAAGACAGAAAATAGTTACAGTATAAACCATTAATTGCATAAAAAACTTGGGCAAATGCAGGCACGAAAAGAAGGGTTTTTTCTGACGGAAAGCCCGAGTGAACGCAAATATGCGTCTGGTTATCTATTGTACTGATTTAGAACCTTAAATAAGGTTTGCAGTATGTGAGAAATCTCGAGGAAAACTGTGTTAAGTTTATAATATCGTATTTTTAACAGTATTTTATTTTATCTGATTTGCCACATTGAAGAGGAAGGATGAAACTAATTCAAACGTGGACGTCCACGTTCCCGTCTTTATGGAAAAAATTGGACATCTTTCATCACTCTTTGTTCTTCGTCACATCAAGGTGTATATAGTTATCGCCTTCGTAGACTTCCAACATCACATTTTTCTAGCAAAAAAATAAGATAGATGAGACGTGTAGGCGCCAGGATAATCTTTTTTCGTGCTTTTCGTGTTTGGCTTAGTTTTGTTCTCCCTTTTTTTGTGGCTTTTTTTATAAAATTGGTATCGTATTGTCCGCTTCTTTTGTTCGTATGTTAGGTTGTATTTCCCGCTTTGTATATATCTTGCTTGTTGAGTAATTTTTTCGTCAATTCTGCGTCTGTCGAAGGCTGTTGTAGTAACAGCATGTTTCAGCCATCATTGAAAAAGGCGAGCTCGCTGAGATGAGATTATAAAAAGAAAGCCAAAAAAAAAACAAAAAACAAAAAAGCGGAAAAAAAACAGAACTATCAGATTGAGCTTGTATCATTTCTCAATGATGCAAAAATTTATGCCATTTTCGCCCTCCCCTTCCACTTTTTTTTATATCCCAAAATACCCTTAAACTTCTATGGTTGCAAACTGTTAGTCCAAAGTAGATGTTGCTGGAACGAAAGTTTGTAAAGAAGGATGTCCTCAAACAAAGATGAAACCAGAAACAATTCTAAGCAAAATATACATTTTGGACTGTTGGGTCGGCTGGCTTGAGCACCTGGTGCAAACGTAGGCACCAAGAGTCTGATTAGGAACCTTTGTCCACTCTCCGAGCCTCTGTTTCTCCCTGTCTCTCCCTTATTCAGCCCTAAGTACAGGCTCTTAAATATGCTATTGGTGGGCATGTTTGGGCTTACGGGACAACTGACCTTGGCAGAGTAAACATATTTTCAGAACGCCAATCAAAAACATTTCACAAGACGTTCGACATTAACAACAAAGTACTTGAAAACATTCAATCTTCGAGAACTAAAACCTAACCAAAACTTTCCGTTTATTGTTGTAAGCAAGGTCAATGACAGATCCAAGCACAACTAGCAACGACGATTATCGTACAAGAATTGCGCCCTTTTACAACGGTTAAGGACACATCACTCAAAAGGTAAAAATATATGTGAGGTCTTGTCACACATAAAAAACCAAGGCTCGCAAGACTTGTATAAGGATTGTAAGATATCTATAGCAGGCCTAAACAATTCTCACATAGAAAATTTCTCATTTTAGTGGCTCCCAAACTCTTCTAAATTGAGGAGTTCATACCACAAACAAAGAAAAAAAGCAAAATAGGATAAGTTAAAGGACGACCAACAGACAAACCTGATAATCATCCAATAATCGTTTGACCGCCGAGCAGAGCCACAGAAATGTTGGTCTTCTTTCAGGTTGCTCTTCCCAACATTTGGCCATAATGGAATACCTGAAAGAAGCATCTCATTCATAATTTTCTTACTTCATTTTTGTCTTCCAATTCACGGTTTGTCTTTTTCATTGTGGTTTAAAGGTGAACAGTGAAATATCTAGTTATTATGAGTGACATTTGTCAAAATACTAATTTGAAATGATGTAATGAAAGAGCTCTTAAACCACTTACAGTTCTTGTGAGATATAAGGTGGCCTAAGCATGCGGTATCCTGTCTCCAGTAAGCCAGCTATCTCTCTAGATTTTACTCCGGGATATGGTGAGCCACCTGAAAATATAAGAGACTAACTGCTGAAGTACAAATACACTGTACCATCAGTGGCCCCGATCAGCAAAGTCAGTAGAGTCCTTCTCTGGCTGGAAAATTTACGTTCTAGTTAATGCAACAGGGAAGCAAATGCCCTAAATAGTTCTTTTTCATATAATATTGTCTTGCGAGGCTCCCTGGTTTCCACATGATCATTTTCGCAAAACCACAAAACTTCACTACTTATGAGTCTTAACACACTTATCGAACCTTCCCCAGGCGATCAAGCCAATGGAATCAACTGATCTTGATGATTCTCACTTTCCCTCATAATTAGTTCTATAGTAAAGACATTTATGTTTTATGACATTGCACCTATATACTTTCTAGGGCAATCCCGACAATTATATATGGAGCCCAATGGGGCGATAATGCCCCAATCATCTTAAAAAGTCTCAGAGAGTTCTACACGTCTCGGCCAATTACATGAAAACCCTGATAAAAAAAATCCGTCGTTATGTCAGTAGTGATTATATGTTTTGATAGGTGTGAGACAAGGTGGTGCGTTTCTTGTTTTTATGTAGCCTTAGAGTTCTTCTTCACAAATATCCACATACCAATGGTAAAGACCTCCCACATCACTATGCCGTATGACCATCTGTTTAAGACAGAAATGCAGTAGCAATTTTTATCAATGGCCTTTTTTACTTTTGTCTAAGAGTAGTTTTCATTGAAGGTCGTAAAATAAAAAAACAAACTAATCAGAGCAGCCAATCAGTGCAAAAGAAAATATCATGGAGCCAGGAGAACTTAAAGCCATGAGAATTTAAAACTACGTGAAGCGTAGAAAAACGCGAGATAACAAGTCGCGATTTGTTTTGATTTTAAATACTTCTGTTTATAAAGTGGCGTGTCTCTTCTGTGATCAAGCTCAAAGAAAATAAAACCAAAGTTATACCTGGTAACTCAATTGAAAACTGGTTAGAGAGCATTTTTCATAATTAATTAGGCAGTTTTGAAGTATTAGTATTTGAACCATATTTTTACTGGCTGAACGCATAGTTCCTAAGTTTCCCATGGTAATAACTTGAAATGTTAAATTAAAAAAAAAACCTACATGTCGCTCATAGTGGTAGATGTGCCATAAAAAATGGATTCTGGTGGCATCCACCTGACTGGAAGACGAGCCTTGAGAAGAATAATCACATAAAGCTTGAATATGATTTCAAGCAAAAGACAACTGAAAATTACAAGCAACGTTTTCGTTAGTTACTAAGTGTAAAAATAACGATCGTTGACTTAAAACTTTGTAGTTATCTAAAGATATTTACGTTAATCACCTGAGTTTTTCTCGTGTATATATCTCCCTCCAAACCACGCGCTAAACCAAAGTCTGAAATCTTACATACTTTGTTGTCCCCAACTAACACATTACGAGCTGCTAAATCACGATGAACAATCTGAAACAGCACAGTAAAACAAGCTTGATACCTTGAGATATTTTCAGAGAGCACTTCTTCACCTTGCTCAGAAAGCAAGTTAGACCAAGAGGCGACTCGAAACCATTCGTCATAGAACAATATCAAAAAGGTTGCATTGTGAATGTTTGTTGCATAGCACACTACTCCCATGTCACATATGATCTTAAAGATTTTAGATGCTTAAACAGAATAACTGTGGTCTGGTTTACCTTCATTGTTGACAAATAGCTCATACCATCAGCGATCATCCACGCAAAGGACAAGAGGTCATTTTCTGTAAGGGTTGAGCTTGGCCTATTTTCTCCTGTGTCATAAGCATCTTCGATCCCTCTGCTCTTACGCAGATATCCCAACAAATCCCCGTTTGGTAAATACTCCAACACTATGAGAAGTGGATCTAGAAATATGTAACGGTGCTGAATCAGTCCTTTTAATGAGATGGTCTTTCAAAGAATTAGTTAATTAGTCTGTCAGCAAGAAATCAGAAATTACAATCAATCAGGTTACAATCAAAATTTCCAGTACCTTTTTCAATACAACAGCCAATGAGGTCAACAAGATGGGGATGAGACCTCAAGGTTTTCATGAGATCTAATTCAGTCAGCATGTCTTGTAAGTCCTTCTTTTTTGCATTGCCTTGAAAATTGGTCAAGATTAAAATGCCAACAATTACTGTGAGTTTGTAAGGAAACGGCGTTCCACTCTTAACCTAATATTATAATAGCCTTTTTCCTCGGTTCTGAGAGAGAATTGAAAGATATGATAGAAGAGAGTCAGACTTGAATTCAAGAGATTTTGTCGCCTTTCATGTGGCAATATAACAATGTGTTAGAAAAATTAAGGGTACCTTTCAAAGACTTAACAGCCACTTCAAAGTTTAAAGGTTTGTAAACTGCCTTGGACACTTGACCAAAGTTGCCACTCCCGAGTACCTTTACTGTTATTATTTGATCACGATCAAGTCTAAAGTCATCCACTTTTTGCCGCTCAGCAACAGAACTCATTGCGATGTCTATGTAAAGTTGTTGGTGAGAACAATTAACGATAGTAACATCAAAAAAATAAATAGGACGATAATTAAATCTGTCACGGTCCCCACAGAAGCTGCTTAGTCGCTAATGTGCTCGAGTTACATACGCAAAAAATAGAGTAATAGCAATGTGGAGACTTCCATACTGTTTACAATTTTTCCATAGTTTTATTTGTTTTTTTTTTCTCTGAGTGTAACTTTATCTTTACTATCTGCTGCTATCGGCTGCTATCGAAGCAGATTGAATGGAACAAACGACATTTGCATTAAACACGCCGACAATTTCATATAAATTGACACGTCAGCAAATGACGCACAGTTCAAAACTGAAAAGTTTCACGACCTTTAAAAACTCTAAATGACCAAGTCACGGTACTTTCTCGTAAAATGACATCAAATTGCAAGTTACCCTCAAAAACCATAACGCTGGGTTCTGTTGTTTTAGGAATTTCCTCAGAGTTTGCATTTCTTCGACGGTTCCATCTGACAAAAAATAGCATCAAATTGAATTCTTTGTGAGCATATATAAGAAACAAAGCATCAAAAACCTTTTAAGCCACAATATAGACGCGTCAGTACTACCACTTTCAATACTCAGTCTACTGATGCCTGTTGAACTTGTTGAACATCCCTTTAGCCAATGGTGGTCCTTGAAATCCTGCCAAGAGTGATACTATACAGGAATAGTAACCTCGTGTTTAGTTTCATAAGTGTTCCCGCACTTACCTGTTGTACATTATGTAACCGGCGAAAGGCACAATGCAAAATGCCAACGAACCAACCAAGCCATAGATGATTTTGAAATACATGGCAACATTGGGTTCTGTCGGGTGGAGGGGAGGAATGCTTCGTTTATTACAGTAAAGCTGAGTAAATCAGACTAGAAACTACTTTTTGGTTGTGCTTTATATGAAAAATTTTTGTTTAAATATACTTGGTTATCCTCGTCATTCTGACTCATCAGTGGTCCAGTTAGTTTATTATTCTAAAGTCTATATTAACGTTTGTTTACGCAGGCACTCAGCAAAAATAGCCTCGCGGCAAAGCCTTCTCATAGTGGTCTTCGCTTAGGTTTGGTCGGTGTCACTGTTGCCCAGCAATTATATCAGTCTTAGAGGTTGATTGGCAAATCAGCGATATACAAACTAACCTTCTCTAAGTGTGAATGTCTTCACACCAGCAGGACCCCTACCAAGGTCGTTTATAGCAAATACCTGAGGAGAAGAATCAAAAGGCTGAGAGATTTCTTCCTCAAGAGCAAAAAAAAAAAAAAACGGCTACTTCGAGTGTTGTCAAACTGTGGAGTGCAAAATCTCGTCCAATTAAAACCACAAAACAACAGAGGAGTATCGTAACTGCATCAAAACACTATTAGGTCTAAAAGAAGAACAACAGTTTTTTTAAAACTTTTTTTTTAATTTAAATTTTATTTTATTACAAAAGAACAATCACAACAAAAACAAGACAAAAAACAAAACAAAAAAACCAGGAAAAACATCACAAACAAAAACCTACTCACGGAGTTACAAAAGAGGCAATACTTACGTTACAATAGTTGCACTAATTACAACGATACTTTACTTACATTTCTGTCACATAAAAAGCACTAACACTATTTACATCATAATACCAACATTACATTTAATGGTATCACAAGTTACACAGCTTATATTTTAAAACTTAAATCACAGGGGCTAATTGCACTAAAATTATTTCTAAAAATTGGCTACAAGTTACATTTGGTATTTCTTTAAATTTGTTATTTTTTAAATTAATTCTTTTTTTTTGTTCTTTCGTTCTTTATTTGGGGTGAAAATGTATGTTTTTCATATAAGAAAATGACTGCTTTTGGAGTAAAGGGCTAAGGAGACCTGATCCAGCAAGGATACAAAAGGCTTCCATTTTTTGTGTTCCTCGGTGTCCTGTTTTCATGGTAATGTATAATTTAGATGAATCAAGAAGTTGTTTCGAGTTAGATAAAGTTCTTTCGGTGGAGATACCCAAATATAGTGTTTAGCCTTCAGGCAACATAAATTTATTTGGAGTTTTAAATTGGAGCTTTCAGGCTTAGATGATGAACAACGTTGATTTTCAGTTTCTTCAGACAATCTTCTTTTATTTTTAATTTTTAAAACCTTTAATAGTACTGACTAATTCGACGATAACCATATGCATCCAAACTTAATTCTGTTGTTTTGCGAAGTAAAATTAACTGAATTTTAAACAAATACTTTACATTACTCAATTGCATGATATAACTCTTCTCTTCATGCCTTTATTCCCTGAAGTTTCTTTTAGAAGTTTTTAATCGAACTTAAATTGAAGTAAAAATTCTGTCTACCTGGAATTCATAAGTTTTTCCCGCCTTTAAATCAAACTGCGTTTCCATTTTCTTGGTGGCAAGAGTCTTGGTTTCTGACAAATCATCCTCTCTTATATAAGTCACGTGGTACTCTTTAAGGACACCGTTCATGTCCTTAATTCTCCAAGATACAACAACAGCCGTTTCCGGTTGTTCAACAAACACTTCTGGTTTCCCTGGAACTAGTTTTTCAACAGAGATGAATACACAGTCACGAACATGGGTCATCTACTTTATTGTTACTTGTTTTTGCGGAAACTTAATTTCATAAAAATGGAACGAGCTTATTTCCGGGGATCAAGTTTTAAATAAAAATTTTTGGAAAAGAAGTGCTATGGCGTAAATTTTATGTGACTCGACCCATGCTCGGTGTGAGAGAGATAAGCACATCGATAGGAATTTTTGCGATATTCTATTCACATCCTCAAACTCACCTGATCTGTTAGTCCTTACAGTTATTTCCGTAAGGTTTCCTTCAATTCCATATTTTCTTCTCGCTAATTCGCTTACTCTGTTCTTAGCGAATATTTTCATAGTGTAGAGTACAAATGAAGATAGATTTCCAACAATAACGTGGGAAACGTTCAAGCCTTTCTTTTTTGGCGTAAAAATGACGTCACTTCCGCAAACTTTACTCGCGCACTTGTCCTCGTCTTTGTTTTCACACGGCATTCGGCAGTCAATGTCATAAAACACGTGAGTCTGATTTCCGGTCTCTACAGGAGGCTGCCATTGTAACTCCAACGCGCTTTGGTTAACGAAGATAACTCGGACATTTTTGGGGGCTGACGGTATAACTGAATTAGGATATGTAATAAGAGGAATACAAACTATATTTATTCAGGAATCATATTGTATGAATTATTTTTAACTGTCTATTTTATTTATTATTTTGAAGGAAAAAAGACCATGTAAATTAAGCGACCACCCGATTAAATAAGCCATCTCACATGTTTCCTTCATATATATATATATACAATTTTTCTTTCTAGTCTGCTAGAGCGAGTTTTAAGGAAACATTCTAACGTAACGCATTTAGTGTTATTGGTTTGTTGTATTGCTACAACTGGCAATTGCGTCATATTTGTTCAACAGATGCTCATACAGTAGAAATGACAAACGTATAAGATGCAATTTACGGATGAACGTCTCTCGAAGATGTCAAAATTAATCGCAAGTGAACCAAAATCTCGAAATATCCATGGTAAAGTGATGTACTAATAGTTAAAAATAAATGTGAAGAGTTGGAGACAGCTGGGAACCACAAATATTTAACCAATTAAGCATAATTGAACAGATGCTATTTAAAAAATAAAACTCTATTGCATCCGTACCTGTGCACATAAAGCCATTTCCGTCGTTGTATTTACCTTCCGGGCAACCTGAAGAAGGAAATGAAATAGATATATTGATGAAGTCGATTTAAAAATTTTCTTCGATCTCAGCGGAAGACAAATGAGATGCACTAAAGTATGGAGTTCAGCGTTTTCTTTACGCAGTAACCAGTGACGGAGGCAAAGCCATTACCATCCTCCATTCATCATACAAGTCATCCCTATCACAAACAAGTCACTCTCCAGACGACCTAATGTAATGAGTCTATTCATTTTAACTGGGATTTCTCATACTGTCAAGTTTGAATTCCATTTACTCTAAACTTAAGCTCGTAAGTGTCATCACTTTATCAGATTCTTTAGTTAAGGTTAAATTTTCCACCATTCTATTATTTATTCTCAGACTAATCCGAATTTTCTGACGCTAATGCTTATGCTTATGTAAGTGATGTGATGTAAGTGTAATGTAAGTGATGAAACTAAAAAAAATTGGGGAAGGTTTTTAGAAAACACATTCCAGTTTTTTAATCGTCTAATCGTAGAGAAAGGTGTGTTTTTTCGTCTCCATACTAGACTTTGTCTATTTCATCACAGAGCTCATGTTTACCATTTTTCCAGTTTTATTTCCTTACTTGACGCTTTCGACATTACTGACCTTAACGGTGTGCAGGACGCGTTTCACACAATTTATGAAACTTGTACTGAGCTTGTTCACTCTAGTGAGTCTTTGTGGCAAAAGGTCAGAACGCAAAATCCGAAAGTCTATGAATTGATTCCTCGTAAAGAATCCAAATTTTCTCTTTCTCTCTACTTATTCTCTTTTGAAATCGCAGACTCCTTCTTCAACGTATTGTTGAACAGAAGCTCTTGGCTGCTGGAAAACACCTGCGTGACGCCCACAGTCAGAGGAACAAAGATCTACACGAACATTTTACAATCCGTAAGAAATGTCGTGGGAAATTTGAATGCCTATTTACGAAATGCTCTTCATCAAAAAAAATACCCTAAAATGAACACTCAATCTGCCTCAATTAATGCAAAAATATTCGGTACTTTATTAATACTCTCTACATTCCACATTGTAGAGTTTTTGATCACATGCAACGAGACTTTTACGAGCGCTTTTTTAGTATCTAAAGAACTCATCGGAATCTGACTTTTATAATCTGAAAATGATAATGAATCACTGAAACGTAATTTCAATGGACTTTCGCTGATTTTTACTCTTGATACTCTATTTTATTACCGAGCTAAAATGAATCATCTATTTTTCTAATCATGTTGCCATCCTGAAAGGGTTTTAGTTCTAAAGAATGGTTTACCACTGCACTTCTATGTTACTGTAGTTATATATACCTTTGCATTCCCCCCTCGTATTCTCCATATCCTCCATGCATATACATCTTCCGTTCAGTGAACTCAAGTTCCAGACCCCATCGCTTTGGCAGTTCACCTTTAAAATACCATGCTCGTGGACGGCATTGTTAGTACAACTACCTACAACCGGCTCTGAGTTATTTGCTGGAGCAATTGTACGTGGTAAGTACACCAAACCACCATCATGAACTGTCTCTGGGCAGAAGTAATATTTAACAGCGACAGAGAAAAGGACAGTACATGAACCCTGGTCATGAAAAGCCAATACGATGTACTTTCCTTTAACATTTATACTAAACGTTTGAGACACTCTGATACCAAGGGCTGACGGAGCTGTTTTAGCAATCTTGTCATAAGAAGCATTGTTTGTTAGAGGGTGGGGTTCCGTTGATTGCCCGGATTGATGTACGTATAAGTCGAGGTACTCTTTGCAATACTTCCCTCCATTGTCAGGATAGGATGAACACTTTAACGTTCGGTACTCAATGGTAATGTGGACTGCTTTCACTCCACTGTGGACCTTAATAGAATCACTTCGAAGCCAGTTGTTTGGTTGTGAGTGTCCAACCAGAGAAATATCACAGGTTGAATAATATGTCTGCTTTACCCACTATTAATCAGTTAAAATAATATATCAGGAGGTTATTAGGTTCTATCCAGTAAGGAAAGAGCTGTTTTCGATTGTAACCGAAGTACACTGGATTTCATTTATTATAGCACAGTGTTTGGGGGGTTTTAATTGTGAACATTCCATGTTTTAACTTCCAGCTTCATGAAGTAAACCTATAGCTAAACGAACCATTTCAAAGGAGAAAACCTTCATGAAAAAATTCTTGTCTATTTTCAAATAATTCAATCTTGAAGGATAGATTAGCTTTAGCATTATAAGCAGTTAGCGGAAAAAGGGGCGTAATTTAGAAATGCTTGAAGGAGGTGCCCTGGAAATTTGAACTTAGCCAGCCAATTAAATACTGTCTGGTCATCTCTTGCTGTCAAAACTTAGTGACCTTTAAGGAGCTTTTCACAAAAATTAGTTGAAATATAAGTGCTTACCCCACTAAGTCCGCCTATTCGCGCCGTCGATGTTTCCCAGATCCAGTTCTCAGATGGTATTGGCTGTTTTTCTAAAATGACTTTGGAGAACAAACGTCAAAATCAGGTCAATAATGCACTCATAAAAAGTACTTCTCAGTGAAAAAAACTGAAAAACTGCATGCCAACCATAATTAGCTCATATCCCAAATTATTGTGATGAAGAATCGATGATGTGAAATAACAAGTAGTACTTTAGATAAATAATATCTTTTAAAGATATAACTGAATTGCACATAAGTCTTTAAGTGACTTTAAATCTTATTATCATCATTATTTTATTTTTTGTTTCTTGTATATGTAAATATTGGTAAATTTCGTAGTATGCTTTAACCTATCGGCTCTTAAACATGCTTCCGTAAAAAAATCTACGCAAATTGATTTACCTCATTACTTAATGTCACAAGCAATTATACCGTACCTTGATTCGCTGATGAAAAGGTTATAATCATGGGGAGGGTGAGCATTGCAGTCAACCGGTGATCCATTTTGCATGTGTCACGCCATGAACTGTAGAAAAAAAAGTTTTAAGAATTTACTCAAGGGTTGAAGGAGAAAAAGAGAAATGCGAAGGCCCCCCAGTTTAACTTTCTCTCACTCGGATGCTCCCTAACCAGTGAAAACTTGTTTTCTTTATCGACCTAAACTGTTTTTCTCATTGACCCACAACCGAATATTGAGTAATGCATCGATACTTGACACTTAGCTAATGAATAGAACTAAATCATCAACACCATATTGTTGTTTGAGGCGTTCGTTTCAGTCGGCGTGGAAGTTGGATTTCGAGATGCTTTTTTGCCGATGGCGTGACAGCTTTAACTCAGCTCCGTGTTTTGAACTTTGACGAAATAGACTGCTATCACTAATACTTCCGCTTTAATAAACCTACTGAAGAGCCTTTTGAATGGGAAAAGTATCATGCTCGATCAATTATAAATGCTGTCATATACATTTGCATTCCAGGTAGCTATGATATATATATGGCAAAAAAGGATGCTAAAGTATTCTTTGCTTATTAGTAAAACTTTGGTGGTTTCCCATGAAAAGAGGTCTATATTGACGCATTTTATTTTAGATTTTTTACACCAGCGAAAACTCCATAATCATTCAAGACATACTAATGTGGCACAGATTTACATCCCTTTTTGTCCTATGTTGAATGGTTACATGGCGTTGCGATAACATTGCATATTTCATTTTATATTTCACGTAGAATAGGTTAGGTCAGCTTTCCCAAATATCAAAGACATATTTTCGTCAGTTTGGCTATGTTTCTTCGTTAGCAGCAAAATTTTGATGTTAAATATCTCGTGTCAGCCGATAGATTTTATTTATTTGTTCATCACAAGCTGTTATTCCAATTAATATCCCAAAAACAGGAATGAGATTGAGTTTAAAGGAGGCCCCATGACTAAAACTGATAAAATTCCTACGATTACAAGGATAATTGAAAGATGGAAACAGATAAACTGATATTAAAGTAATTGTTTTCTTCAAATTATGATACAAAAAAACTTCCTTATTAAAGCAAGACCAGGAGTCTAGTGAAAGTTACAAAGGTATTAGAGAATGCGAGAAATCAAGGTTTGACGTTTTAGCTTGCAGCCGACAACAACGGTCTACCGAAACTTGGGCCATCGTACTAAATTTAGCAAAATTTATATTGGACGTTTTTCGCTCTCTTTCAAAGACAATCCAATACTATTTCTTTGAAAAAGAGACCGAATGAATGATACAAAACCTTCGTTGCAACTTTAATGCAGCCTTTTGAAATAACCAGGGGGTAAAAATAGTTTAAACATGCCTTTACATGTATTAATTAAACTACTGGCAAGCAACAATCAGTTTACTTACCTTTTTTTGACACCATGTGGAGTACAAGCTTTTGCTTAAGCTTTTACTATCAATGTTAGGAATTTTTAAACAATCTCAATATCAAACTAAACTTGAGGGTCCATTTTTTCGCTAATCAAACGATTTCCTCCGTAAGAATGACACAAAATGTACTTTCTGGTAAAACACACCAGTAAAGAACGAACCCTTACGCATCTTAGGCAGCAAGCAGTTTTAATTTCACTTCTACATGAATACTAAGGAGGTAAAGTCACCCAATTATCAGCTAATTATCATACATGCAGAGGCATTTGTACCCCGACGAAATGGAATGAAATTGAGGAAGCAAACTCTGAGAATCCGCCTAGCTTTACTTTATCATAAAGCGTTATCTCTCGGTTACACGTGGCATGTCTGCTAAATGTGTTTACAGGTACCTACCCGCACAATGGTTACAATTTACAAATTGAAGACTCTCTTACTCCGACTGGAACAGAACTGAGAGCCCGCAAACCCTAGCTAACTGAGCTGGATAAAACCAGCAAATGATACCAGACTTCCGTGCGCTAGCCTTTGTTAGGAAAGACTTGCGCCAGTGGTAACGTCGGTCTGCGCCAATATATAGGCGCTGTGGGTACGTAGTGTAACAATCGTATACGAGTGCTTCGTATACTTATGAAGTAAAATACTAAGGATGTATCATTGATTAACATCAAATTTAATTTATTTCGTGTCGTACCTGAACTAAAATCTCTTCCAAAAGATTCCTTAGAAAAAAAAGGAACTGATTGAAAGAAAAAGTTTGCCACGGTTAATATGCAAAAAAGCTTCACATATGACCACCAGGAATTCTCAAAGTGACATACTTATGGCGTTGTGCAGCCTTAGGGCTTAGCCCTGTGATATTTCCTCCACTCTTGTAACAGATCGATAATTTTACAACAGATATTATTGACGTTAATTTCTACTAAAGCTATTTACAGGAATGCAGGACATGACGAAGAAAATGAAGGCAAGCTTTTTAACTACCATGTAATTTTTATCCCCGCCACAGAAAAGCATATAAGAATTTATGACTGATCTCACAATGAGGTTCAAAAGAGTAAACTTAGCTACTAAGTGTTGTCTTTAACTGTGCCTAAGATTAGTATTTATTCTCCTTGTTGGAACCTGCCAAGCTTAAGCGTGAAGTAGAATAAAGACAATAAAGAATCCGAAACAATATAGCGTTCCAAAATCATAGTTACAAAACAAACAAAAATTCATAGAGATCTTTCACTGAACAAAACCCAAAATTCGACTATATACGCGTGGTTTCTCTACTCTTTAGAATCTCCAAACACTGGAATTACTTATTTCCAGCTTGTTACTCTTAAGTGCGGAGATAGGAATTAAAAGGGTTGCTGAAGGGTATTTCTCCAAGCGAAATTTCCTTTGTTCAATAATTGGGTGCCACTTGACTGCTTCATAGTAGCTCGCTAATTTCCGCTTTCAAAACTGTAAAATATCGCAAGATACGAAATTACACGGATTTATTTACAGAGTTTTCCCGAAAACTTAATCTTGAGGGATTTTAGACTTAAAGTGGACTAAAATTAAATAGAATCCGGTATGTTCTTGTTCTTGTTTTTCAAAATGAGATATGAATATAGCTTGCTATTATATTAAGCATCTAACCAAGCAGATTTTCAGAAGGAAACTCATATCTAGAAAAGGTCCTCATTCTTACGAAATCTCCAGAAACACTGTGTTAAGATCATAATACAGGATCTTTAACAATATCTTATCTCATTTGGAGCAAAGGAGATGGAGGATTAAAATAGTTTTTAATAACGTAAAATTCGCTGGACTTCCACGCTCCAGTCTTGTTTGGGGAAATACGACATTTTTTACCACTCGTAGTCCGTCAACAATCGAATTTGATGTAGCTCTCCCTGTCGTAGACTTCCAAGTTCACGTATGGCTATAGAACAGATCAGATAGATGAGACGTGTTTCGAATAAAAAGTTGGAGAATTCTTTGTCGGGCAAATCTATGAAATCCATCCTAGTGTTAAAGTTTCATCCTCAGTCCATCAACTAAGTTCCTGCTCAAAGAGTTTTGCAATCCGGAACTTTTGGTGAAAAAAAGATTCATCCATTGAGATGAGATTATCGAGAAAAACAGAACAATGTAAGTGGAAAATATAAAGTTATTTCTACTGTTCTCGTTTCCTTTCCCAGAATGTAATAATCGTGCCATTTCCACCCTCCCCTCCCACTTTTTTTTGTGCAGGATACCCAAACACTGCTATAGTTTTAAATTACAAGTCCAAAGTCAAATATTTTGGGATCAAAAGTTAGTAAGGAAAAATGTTGTCCAACAAGAATAATAAGTTTGCTAACAAAGAGTAACCATGGAAGTGCTATTATTTTAAGCGCATACTACGACTGGCTCTGATATAAGGCCTGGGCCCTCTTTTTCGGTTCGGAAAACTCATCCCCTTATGATATGTCTTTTTATGGGTTTCTTCTTGAGAAGTTACACATACAAATTGATTCTCATTACCCTTTTTACTGGAATTATCAAACAACACACACAAGAAAGCCACTTCACTATTGTTGCAACCCTCAACTACCATAACAAAGTACTAAATTTTGAATGAAACATTTTGTTACCGTTGCAAATAGTGGAACTGTAGCTCTCGCAGAGTCGAGTCTGCACAAGTAGACACTAGTTCTGTTCTATTTTCGTTAGATTTTGTACATGAAAAAAAACAACCTTAATTTTTTTTTTTAAAGAAAATTCTGACCGGTTTTTACCAGACCAATAAAAAGCTCCTCTGGTTTCTACCTGCTTGTTCGAATAGTAACCATTATGGAGTCGCAAAATTATAGCGACTTAACATCTCGATCGTGTTAAAGGTTTTAGGATAGAAACTCTGGTCAACCTTTGGAATTGTTAACTGTGTTGTTGCTGGTTATACATTGTCAAACCTGTAATAATGTAAGAATCTAAGATTTAGCTACCAAGGCATAGACCCATTCTATTCTCTTGGAAAAAAAATTTGGAAGGCAAGAAAGCATAAAGATTCTAATTATTAACTGCTTGAGAGTTCTTCACAATGATCTACATACCAATAGTAAACACCTCCCACATCACAGTACCGTAAGACCATCTGTAGACAGCAGACGGAAGGAAAAAAATTACGTTATATGCTTTTTTGTTATTAGCATGAGTCTGTAAAAATAATATTATATATACAATGGAAACCTTTTTTCGTTATTACAAGGGTAGCTTTGGCAATCAAAGACATTATTACTTGATTCTTTGATACCATTAGCTGAACGCGCACCATTCGGTTTCCCGCTCGAAACGACTCGAAAGAAAAGGTGCTTTTAACTGAGAAACTTTCAAGTTCTGTTCCAAAAATCATTTACAAAGGAAAACGAACCGCTGACTACCTAATAACCTGAGCCTTTCCGAAAGTTATATCTCCTTAGCGTACCAACTGTTCCGAGCTAACGTTATTTAAGAGGTAACAGAATAGGTACTGGATACGGCAATTGACGACGCAGGGTCTTCTTGGAAAATAAGATGAAAGATTAAGAAAAGTGGATGATATTTGTAAACAACTTACATGTCACTCACTGTGGAAGATAAACCATAGAAGAGAGATTCCGGAGGCATCCATTTAACTGGCAGACGAGTCTTGAAAAAATTAATCATTAGGAAAAGTTAGAATAAAATATAAACGAAAGGAAACTAAAAATAAATATACATTGCATTAGGTAGCAGATTGTCAAATAAGAAGATAAACTAGTTTTGGCGCAACGCTTTGAAGTTATTGTGTATTGTAAGATAGCTTCGGGTTCGCGTCACATAAACTCGATTAAAATTTCGAGCAAAAGAAAAGTGAGAGTTAAAAATGACTTTTAGTAAATTGGCGAGTGAAAAATTTCTAAATATTGGCGCAAAGCTTCGTAGTTATATTGAGATAGCCTCGGGTTGTAGTCACCTGTGTTTTTCTCGTGTATACATCTTCCTTCAAACCACGAGCTAAACCAAAGTCTGAAATCTTGCATACTTTATCGTCCGCAACTAACACGTTGCGAGCTGCTAAATAAAGATGAACGATCTGAAACAAGCATGGGCATGTTATTCGCCGACGTTTTAATATAGGCTCTACTTGCTATTCTTTTTTCATCTTATTTAATATCACTTGTTTTGGGTAGACATAACAGTGATCATGAAAAGTGAGGAGGTTGGCTGGTTTCAGCTCGAGAATAAACATGGTAGACCAATGGATGATCCATTGATAACCATTCCTCATAGAATTGTAGAATACAGTTGTATTCTAAAGGTTTGTTGTATAAGATATTCCTTTTTACGTCACACATGACCTTAAAGCGTAATGAAATTTGGTGGGTGTGGTATGGTAGAGTTTATCTTCATTGATGACAAATAGCTCATACCATCAGCGATCATCCACGCAAAGGACAAGAGGTCCTTTTCTGTGAGTGTTGAGCTTGGTCTCTTTTCTCCTGTGTTATAAGGATCCTCGATCCCTCTGCTCTTGCGCAGATATCCCAACAGATCACCATATGGTAAATACTCCAACACTAGGAGATGTGGGTCTAGAATTGTGTAACGGTGCTGAATCAGTCAATTCAATGTGCTAGACGTTCCATTAATAGAGAATTAGTCATTCAGCAAAAAAAGCAGAAAATAAAAAGCAATCATAATTTCCAGTACCTTTCTCAATACAATAGCCAATGAATTCAACAACATGAGGATGAGGCATCAAGGTTTTCATGAGATCCAATTCAGTCAGCAAGTCTTGCAAGTCCTTCTTTGAAGCGTTGCCTAAAACATAAATGAAGATTCAAACGACAGGAGCTTTTGAAAGGAAACCTCTTTATATCCTTTACCCTTTGGTAAGAGAAGAAATTTCAGTGCCAGTTACTGAAAAGTTAGAGATGGTAAAGAAAGTAAAATAGGCACCTTTCAAAGACTTGACAGCCACTTCGGAAATTAAAGGTTTGTAAACTGCTTTGGACACTTGACCAAAGTTGCCATTCCCAAGCTCCTTTACTGTTGTTATTTGATCTCGATCAAGTCTAAAGTGATCCACTTTTTGCCGCTCAGCTACAGAACTCATTTCGACGTCTGTGTAAAGATTGTTAGAATTGTTAGTTATGATAATTAACGTTAAACGTTGGTAATTCCACATGAAGCGCAACGTCAGCAAATCGTACGAGGTAATACTGCCGTAAAAGATGTGAATGATATGATATTGCAACTTACCCTTATTCACCACAACGTTGGTGAATTCACGGTGAACATTTCCTCGGTGGTTCCATCTGACAAAAATAGCCAAAATCTTAAATGTCGTCAATGCCACCATAGAAGTTATGATTTGGGTACAGCTGAGAGAAACGACGCATGAAGAACATTTTAAGTCACAAAATAGACTCGTTAATATTATCTCAGTCAATGCTAACTCAGTGCCCTATGCTTGCTGAGCTTTTGACACTTGAGCTGATGGTAATCATTAATATTTGTAGCTCCACAGGGAAGAGTATTATTATAAAGAAATAGTAACCTAGTTTTGAGTTTCATTAAAGTTCCCACACTGACCTTTTGTATGTGATGTAGCTAGCGAAAGACACTATCCAAAGTGCGAACAAACCAACCAGTCCATAGATAATTTTGAGATACATTGTCGCCTTGGAATCTGTGGAATAAAACTCTGAGGAAGGAGTGTTACATTTAAGACAATGAAGCTGATTAACCTGGACTAGGATCTACGAAAAATTTTTCCTTTTGAAATACTTGTTAATCCTCAGCATCCTAACCCATCAATGTTCCTATTAGTTTATTCCAAGGTCTACATTAACTTTTGACTATGCAGACACCCTCATTTTAAGGAAAGGCTTGCGACAAAACCTACACATAGTAGTGTTTCCTTAGAACAGGTTTCGTTGGTATCACTGTAGTCTTGTAAAGGATACTTAATCTGATAATGTCCTAGCTGATTTCGTTTCTATGCTGAAGTAACAACAGTCATGGGACTTAACTTGTTAAACTGGAACACTTCAAACGAGAGTTCCATTATGTCAGTCTTAAGGGTAGACGCGTACGTATCAATGACGTATAAATAAACCTCGCTGTTTAAACGTCTCCACACCAGCCGAACCCCTACCAAATACCTGAAGAGAAAACTGAATTGAGCGTTTCTGATGATGGGCTACTGGTAGGCTAACTCCAATGCAATCTTTAGTATGTGAGTGGAAATCACTGAAAAATGGGATTTATTTTGTCACTTTTCGAGTTTATTTTTGTACTTAGTGAGCCTTGAAGGGAGGGCGATATCTTATGCATCTCAAAAGTAATTGTGCCGCAACAATGAAAGTGATACGTTGTCTCCTTTTGGTTATCGCGTTAATCAAAACACGAAGAGTTTTGAAGTAATATTTTAAAATCAAAAAAGTAGTATTAAAATATTAAAACATAAAAAGTTATTACCTGAAATGATATTTGAAAATCGAATTCAAGGGAAAAGATTTGCCCATGTTTTAGTGCCAAAACAAGTTCCTTCCTTTCCTTTTACTGATATTTTTATCGTTAAACACGTCAAACAAAAATCACTTTTTCAGGTCTTTTAAGTTACCGGGACTTTCGAGAAACAGGCCCAAGGTTTGCTAGTCCTTACAGTTATCTCCGCGTGGTTTCCCTCAATTCCATGTTTCCTTTCCGCCAAATCTCTTACTCGATTCCTGGCGTAGATTTTCACGGCGTAGCTTATCAAAGAAGATAGATTTTCAACAGTAACGTGAGTGAAATTCAAGCAGTCCTTTCTTAGCATGAAAATGACGTCACTCCCGCATGATTTATCCACGCATTTGTCGTCGTATTCACCTTCACACGGCTTGCGGCAGTCGACGTCATAAAACACGTGGGTGTGATCGCCGGTTATTGCAGGAAGCCGCCATTTTAACTCCAATACGCTTTGGTTAACGAAGATAACTTGGAGAATACCTGAGGCTGATGGTATGACTGAACACACACATTCTTATTAGATGTTTTACAATCTTTTTTTCAGGAAAAAGCTGTTAATTGTGTGCCTCAGTTTCCTGAGGGAACTCGCAATAAAATGGGCCATAACGTATTATTCCCTAACATTTATATTAAGAGTTAGTCATTTTAGTCTGTGTGAGCAATTTTAAAGGGTATATGTAATATGTAATTAAGGTTAGGATACGGAGTTGCGTTGTAATGATACAACAGAAGTGATAGTATTACAAAATGAGTATGTTAGAGGCAAATATCTCGGAGATGTAAAAAACTCTATCTCAGGTAAAAAGGAATTTCGAAATATTCATAAGTTTAATGTTGCACTTACAGCCTAAAGTTGAAGAGAGCCACATACTTAGAATTAACCGATGAAATTCAACTCGACAGATACCTCTCAAACGCGAAATCTGTTCCATGCATTACACTCTGCAACGGAAAAATTTACGAAATTTAGGATCTCAACATGTCTTTCTCTGCACCTATGTAGTTAAGGCCATTCTGGTCGTTGTATTTATCTTTTGCACAATCTGAAAAGGTAAATAAGATAATTAGATCTTGAAATTTCCCCACACCCTAAATAAACATGGATGAGGTGATGTGAACTCGTCAGTTAAACTTTTTCTCAATAAAGTATCTTATACAGTAGAGATGGCCATTATTACGGCAGTCAAAGTATACCATTAGTGATACAAGTCATTCTTAACAATACAATTACTACAGTAAATTTTAAAGGTTTGAGCGCAAAAGTAGACAAAGTTGATAGGTATAGTCGACTAGACTACTGCGCATGGGTTATTATATATTCGAGCTTCGACTTCATCCACTATTTCGAATAGAAATGTTGAGCTCATACTCAAGTCGTGTAAGTAATGATGATAATGATAACTTTATGTCCCTTTTGGTACATCAACTCATACATAAAGCTAATTCGAGGCGCAGTTGAACATTCGAAAATAACTTGATAGAAAGAAAAAAATTTTAGTGAAAGACTTTATTCACAATTCCCACTTTGTACAAATTACTTTATGCATAAGTATTTTTAGAAGTATAAGTAATATCTTATACAAACATTTTAGATGCATGAGCAAAATCAGCACCGTGTATGTAAGCAGAGTAGGTTTGCTAGCAGATAAGTAAAGTAGACGGGAGACATCAAGTCAAGACTAATGAAGTCAGAAGTCACCCAAGATGCTGATTGTACATGGAAAGTTTGAACCCTTTTCAACGATAAATGTTGCTCATACTCATCCGTTACGTGCAAATTTAAATCTATGATCCGGCACAAAGTAACGATGAGTCATCTTCAATCCAACTGCGAAAGCCAGTGGATTACCATTAAAGAAATGTGGCTTTCGTAAATACAACCACAATGCAATTTTCGAAATGCAACAACAAACGTATTCCGTGCACGATTACTAGGAAAAGTTAAGTACTGAGCAGTAATGCCAAAAAACGAAAGAAGCATCTGAGAGATCATCCTTTTTTGTATTTGCTGTAATTTTGGTATTCCAGCTCCCTTTAAAATATCTTTGTGATTAGCAGAGCAACCAGGTTTGTTTACCCTTTCCTCAGGGTATTTTGCTGCTGCTTTAGATGAGGTTACAAGTCGTTTTTGTGGAACCCCTAGTTTCAGAGTGCACATGTTAAGATTGTGTCAGGATGCGTATGCTAGAAGACTGACTGACTCATCCTAATTAACCTTTTCACACGTAATGCCCCGTGTGAGTGTAGTCAGAATAACACATTTGTAGCGGAGTAGGATCTGAAAACCCAATAATTAGGAGACTGTGTGCTTTATTCCAATTTATTAGCTATTGGGAATTGTGTTTTAAAAAAAAAATGATCAACTGAACGATCGATGCAATGCCAGGTTGAACTGTTCTCGTTAGTTACAGTCAAGATTTATCAAAATTATACCAGCACAACCTTTTACAGCGATGAACAAAGGTTTAAAATTGTTTACTGAGGTACGGTCTAAGGTGGAATTCAAACGAACGAGCTATGTATCAACTGTATTAAAAAAGTATAGTTTTTTATAACCCGACCCAATTAAACAACAATTTCTCAAAAGATTAGCTTTCAAAACGTTTTTGGATGAAAATTTCTGTTATTGAGATTAAATTATCACTCCTTTGCTCTTTTTGTTCTCATCTTTCTTCCTGGGTATAATTTTTAGCTTTCTTAAATTCTATATTAAAACACTTGTCATTGTTCCCCTTACATTTTTTGCAGTAAGTGGTTTGAACATAAGCCTTACACATTGAAATTTTAAGCACTTCCTTTTTCTCTGTTACA